GTGTACGTATGTATTTGTGTATACTTTTAGGTGACTACATATGGACGCATACATGCATCTATGTATGCATGCATGCATGTATGCATGTGTGCATGCATGCATGCATGCATGCATGCATGCATGCATGTGTGTATGCATGCATGCTTGTATGTGTGTATGTATGCATATATGTAGTGTAACTATGATGTATGGATGCATGTGTGTACGTATGCACGCATACACATATATATATATATATATGTATACATATATGTATGGTTGGACGGATGCGTTTGTGTATGTATGTACGCATATATATATATATATATATATGTATATATTGCGAAGGCCTTACGGCCGTTGCCGCCGACCCTGAAGATGACGAAAGACAACACGAGGGGGGGGGCAGGAGGAGGAGGAGGAGGAGGAGGCGGAAGGGAGTAGGAGGTGGAAGGGTGAAGGGGGAGGAGGAGGAGGCCTTATGGATGTTGGTTGGGATCTCGTGGTTGACCTCTCGGGGGCGTCTGGAAGGCAACTTGAAGCCTCTTGGGGGCCGTTGTGGGGCCTCTTGGGGCCTCTTTTGGGCCTCTTGGGGCTTCCGGAGGCCGTCTTCGGCGCATCTTGGGGGCGTCTTGGCGCCGCTCGGGGGCCTCTTGGGGCCTTTTGGGGGCCTCTTGGGGCTTCCCGGGGGCCTCTTAGGGCGGAAGTCTCGAATTCTCGGTTCCTCGTCCCCCTCTTGGCTGTTTCTTGGGCCCGTCTTGGAGCCCTATTGGGCCGTCTTGGGCGCCTCTTAGGCTGTCCTGGGGCCTTCTTGGGCCGTCTTGGGGCCCTCTTGTGGGCCTCTTGGGGCGCTCTTGGGGGCCTCTTGGGGGCCTCTTGGGCCGTCTTGGAGTGTCGGAAAGCCGAAAAGGCGAGAAGGCCAAAATCATTCAAAAACCGATGTAAAATTGACGATTTTGGCTCCTGGGGCCCTGTTGGGAGTGCTCTTGGGGCTCTCTTGGAGCGTCTTGAGGGCCTCTTGGGCCGTCTTCGGGCCGTCTTGGGCGTCTTGGGGCGATCGTTCGTCGAGTCGAGGCCCTCTTGTACCCTTTTGGGGGTGTCTTCTGTCGCTCTTGGCTCGTCTTGAAGCTTTTCTGAGCTCCGGGACCCCCCGGGGAGGATGCGTATCTGGGTGGCGCCCCCCCCCGGGGACCCCCCCGGCGACCCCCCGGGAGGGGCTTCGCCACGACTCAACTACGACGTTGCTCAATGTCGCTTTGGCTCGCGCGCTGAAGGAGACGGGGAACGACGAAAACGACGAGGGACAACGGAGACGGAGACGACGAGGACACGACGGAAACGACGACGACGACGACGACGACGACGACGACGGTGATCCACGCAAGACGACGACACCGGGATGCGTCTCCCACACGCCGACAGGGTCGGCGGATATATATATATATATATATATATATATATTTGTGCATGTGCGTATATGTGTGTGTACGTATGTGTGCATGTGTGTGGATGGTGTATGTCTGCATGCAGGTATGCATGCCTTCCTGTATGTATTCATGTATGCAAGTATGTATGCATGTGTGTATGTGTATCTGTCTGTCTGCATGTATGCATGGATGCATGCATGTATGTATGTATGCATGTGTGTAAATGTGTATTAGCTAGCGTGGGAGCGGAGGGCAGGCGCAAGAGGACGGAGGGCCAGAGAGGAGCATCACGAGGAGTGGAACGGAAAGGAGGAGCAGCAGCGCCGCCATCGGCACCAGGAGCACCCAGTGCAGCTTGCGCCGCCTCGCAGTCCCTGGGGCTTCGGCAAAGGAGGGGGTCAATTTGTCCGAGGGGCAACGACGAGGGGACGCCCCCAAAAGGCGCGCGGCCGTTCCTTCGAAATGTAAGACTCGATTTTGAACAGAGGGGACCTGATTCCGTATTTAGCGTTCCCCCGCCTTCCCCCTTCGCTCTCCCTCTCCGTGTTCTCCGCCTTGCTTTTGTGTTTCTTTGCCTTCGTGTTTTGTGTGTTCTCCCTCCGTCTCCCTGCTTGGCTTCCTTTCTCCATCTCCCCGTCCCTCCGTCAGTCGGCCTGGTCCGTCCTTTCCTGTCGTCCTTCCCCCTCCACCCCCCCTCTCCCCCTCGCTCCTCGGCTCCTCGCTCTCCCGCCTGTCTCTGCTTCTTGCTTTGCCCGCGCTTCTTTGTCGGCCCGTCCTGTGGTCCGAACAAGATAACTCACTATTTGCCGCTTGTGCTCATGCCCGCGCTCATTGGCCTCCTAGATGAGGTCAGAGTAGATGGGGTCGGAGGATCGCACCGCATGGCTGATACATCGCCGACGCGGCTCGAGGTGAAGCCCGATTTCCTCCACGCCGACGTCGCTGATGCATCGACGACGTCGCGGATGCATCGCCAAGACATCGCCGATGCATCGCCGATACATCGACTGCATCGACGATGCGGCGCGACCCTCCGACCCGATCTACTCCGACCCCATCCAGGAGGCCTCTGCACGCACGGCCGGGTGCATGTCCTATCTGCCCGTGCGCCCGTCTCCCTCGGTCCCCCCTCGGCCTCGCCCTGAGGCCCCGCCGCTTTCTCCTCCCCTCCCTCGCTCCCAATTCAAGCCTCGCGCGGCCCGCTGAGCTTCGACCGGAAGAGGTGCGCTCTCGACCCGCGGATCAAAACAAACTGTCTCCCTCGGTCTGCCCCAGGCGCTCTCCTGCGCGCCGCCGGGCGGCCCGACCCGCCGCGGCCGGTCCGCACACCGCCCCGCCCCGCTCCCCCGCTTCCGGCGGCGCCCTTGGCTGCAGGAGCGGGCGCAGCAGACGCCTCTTCGGCGGCGCGGCCCGGCAAGGCCGCGCGAGCGGAGCCTGGATGGCCGGGCGTGGCGAGCGGGGGCCGCCTCCTCCTCGGCCTCCTCCGCCTGCTCCTCCTCCTCCTCCTCCTCCTCTTCCTGCTCCTCCTCCTGCTCCTCCTCCGCCTCCTGCTCCTCCTCCTCCTCCTGCTCCTCCTCCTGCTCCTCCTCCTCCTCATCGGCTGCCGTCCGGGCTTGCGTTTCCCATAATTCAGCACTTTGAGAAGGGCGAGTTATGTGAAACGCGACCCTGGACTACTGCCCCAAGGACACATTGCGCGGGAAACGCGTTTCCCAGAGTTCGAATTCCGAATTATTGGAAACGCAGTTTCCTTTGAAAAATCGCACTGAATGGGCCAGAATTGCGTTTCCCAGAACTCGGAATGATGGGAAACGCAATTCTGGCCCATCGAGTGCGGTTTTTCCAAATACATTGCTTTTCCCACAATTCGAATTCCGAATTTCGGGAAACGCGGTTTCCCAGAATTCGAATTCTGAATAATGGGAAACGCACTTTCCTTACAAAAACCGCATTCGATGGACCAGAATTGCGTTCCCCAGAATTCTGAATTATGGGAAACGCAATTCTGGCCCACGGAGTGTGGTTTTTCCAAGGACATTGCGTTTCCCATAATTCGAATCCCGAATTTCGGGAAACGCTCTTTCCCAGAATTCGAATTCCGAATTCTGGGAAACGCGATTTCTTTTTGAAAAAAAACGCACTCGATGGGCCAGAATTGCGTTTCCCATGATTCCGAATTCTGGGAAACGCAATTCTGGCCCATTGAGTGCGGTTTTCCATTGAAGCTGCGTTTCCCATAATTCGAATTCAGAATTTCGGGAAACGCGGTTTCCCATAATTTAAAGGGAAACGCAATTTCTTTTGAAACACCGCACTCGATGGGCCAGAATTTCGTTTCCCATAATTCGGAATTCTGGGACACGCAATTATGGCCAATTGAGTGCGGTTTTTCCATGGAAATTGCGTTTCCCACAATTCGAATTCAGAATTTCGGGAAACGCTGTTTCCCAGAACTCGAATCCCGAATTATGGGAAACGCACTCTCCCTTGAAACACCGCACTCGATGGGCCAGAATCGCGTTCCCCATAATTCTGGGAAGCGCAATTCTGGCTCATTGAGTGCGTTTTTTTCCCGGAAGTTGTGTTTCCCATAATTCGAATTCAGAATTTCGGGAAACGCTCTTTCCCAGAATTCGAATTCCGAATTATGGGAAACGTCATTTCCGTGGAAACACCGCATTCGGAACCGCGTTCCCGAACCGCGTTTTCCCAGAACCCAAATTATGGGAAACCACGTTTCCCGAAATTCGGATTTCCAATTGTGGGAAACGCATTTCCATAGAAAAACCGCACTCAATGGGCCAGAATTCCGTGTCCCACAATGCGGAATTATGGGAAACGCAATTCTGGCCCATTGGATGCGGCTTTTCAGAGGAATCTGCGTTTCCCAGAATTCGGAATTCGAATTCTTGGAAACCGCGTTTCCCGAAATTCGGAATTCTAATTATGGGAAATGCAATTTCCTTTGAAACACCGCACTCAATTGACCAGAATTGCGTTTCCAAGAATTCCGAATTATCGGAAACACAATTCTGGCACATTGAGTGTGCGGTTTTTCTAAGGAAAGTGCGTTTCCCATAACTCATACTTCGAATTCTGGGAAACCGCGTTCCCCGAAATTTTGAATTCGAATTTTGGGAACCGCAATGTTCCAGGAAAAACCAAATTCAATGGGCCAGAATTGCGTTTCCCAGAACTCGGAATAATGGGAAACGCAATTCTGGCCCATTGAGTGCGGTTTTCCAAAAGAAATTACGTTTCCCATAATTCGAAAGTCGAATTACGAGAAAATCGCGTTTCCCGTGCAGTGTGTGCTTGGGGCAGTCGTCCGGGACTGCGTTTCCCACAATTCCAAGTTATGGGAAACACAATCCCGCTCCTGCTCCTGCTCCTGCTCCTCCTCCTCCAGCTCCTCCTCCTCTCCTCCTCCTCCTCCTCCTCCTCCTCCTCCTCTCCTCCTCCTCCTCTTCCTCCTCCTCCTCCTCCTCCTCCTCCTCCTCCTCCTCCTCCTCCCGCGCGGCAGTGCTCCGCCCCGCGGGGCCGCAAGGAGCGGCCGGGCACGCGCGGGGAGTGCTCCGCCCCGCGGCGCCGCAGGCCCCACTTCGTGCACGTGAGGGCGCCCCCGCCGCCGGACGTGGACCCGCCGGACTACGCGCTCCACGAGCAGGGCGCGCCCTCCCCGCGGCTGCTCTCGGCGGTCGGTCGGCGACGGGGGGCGCGGGAGGTCCCGCGCGCGCGCGCGTCGATCGCTTATGCGCCACTCCGAGCTCCACCTCCTCGGCTCCAGGGGGGGAGACGGGAGACCGTCCTCCATGCGGCACCTCCGAGGAGGGGAAGGTACCCATACCGCTACCCTTCGCGCCAGGTTTCCCCCTTTGGGGGCCTCCTCGGAGGCAATCGTGGTCCCTGCTGGATTCGCCTCGAAATCCTGGTCAGAGCGCACCCCGGGAGAGGTCCAGGGAGCAGCAGTTTCGGTACCTTTTGGGTCCCCCTTCCTCGGCTTTGGGGGGGTCCGTTCTCCATGTCGATCCATGATCGGCTGGTTTCCGGGAGGACTTGCAGTCCCCGCTGTAGATGCGCGCGCCCAATCCAATGAGTCTCAGTGCCGGCTGCATGGGTTCACCCAAAAGGTCGAAGCCAGGCCCGGCAGCAAAGCTCTGGCAGCACGGTGTTGCGACGGAGGGCACGTTCTGCGCCCGAGTGAACAGAGTCAGGCCAGGCAGTGGAGACTGGCACACGAGGATCTGGTGGGCCGTCAGGGTTGCATCCCGATGATCAACGCGTCCGGAATGGAGTTCGGGCAGCACCGAGAGCCTGACCTCACCCGTTTGCCCGGCTTCCACTTTGAGCAGTGTCGGGAGCAAGCCAACAGCCAACTCTTCTGCATTTTCTGGGCGGCAGCGGTCTGAGCTGCCCTCCCCCCTCCCTCGAGATCGGCCCGTCGACTCGGACCGCTTCCTGGTCAGGAGGGGAAACACACACACACACACGCAAAGAATCGTCGATGCCCAGGAGAACATGGAACGTATGAGAGGTAAATGGGGAAGACGAGGATCCAGGACATATTGAAACAGTGGGGATCCTGGGCCCCCTCACCTGGGGCGCGCCCTGGCCTCACTTTCGGGGGGGGCCCAGCCGTGGCCACGCGCCCCCCTCCCCCCCCCCCTGGAGGCCCCAAGAGAGTGGGGAGGTTACCAGCCTGGAACATATCCCTATCCCTATGCTGGGCACCTCCTCATCACGATGCCAATCTTAGGGATTCCCTTATTTTTTGAGGGCGAATCCCTAAGATTGTCGTCGCCTTTTGGCGTGTCAATCTTAGGGATAGGGATACGTTCGAGGCTGGTAAGGAGTGTGTCAGACTCGGGCCCTGCCCGGCGAAGACGAGGTGTCGGAGGGTGGCTGCGTCGGTGGGCGGCGCCTGCCTGGCTGCTGCGCCCGTCCTGAGCCGCCCGGAGGTGCTGGAGGAGCTGGATGGAGGAGGAGGTGGAGGGCGCTACAGCGGGGGCGCGCATCAAGAAACCAGATGCCTTTCGTCAGGGTATCCTGGGTTTCTTCGCTCCTCGCGCTGCGCGGCGACTTCCCGCAGCCGTTGAAGGAGCTGCTGCATCCAGGGTGCTCCGGGTTTCCCCTGAGGTGTACCTCGCGCACGGGTTCTCAGGGTTGGGGTTCTTGCGAGGGTTTCTTGCGGCCGCGCCCGCACTGTCTAAGAGGTCTCCCCCGTCTCTGCTCTCCCCTCTCCCCCGTGTTTGTTTGTCGCTTCGTCCCTTTGCGTTCACCGCTTAGCTGTGCCAGCCAGCGACTCCTGGAGTCTGCGTCGCCCCAACATTCTAATACCATGTGTGCGTCGCCCCCCACCCGGGGCGGCGCGCGCACCGAGAAATCTTATAGTACGTGCGTCGTGGCGGGCGCTTTCTGGCCACGCCGCCCGGGACACGACATACTACAAGATGGGCGTACCATCTGTTCGGGTCGGACGCGCGCCTCCAAGGAGGACCTGTAGTATTAGTGTGTCCCTGTGCAGGAGGGGGAAAGCCACACAGACACAATTCATCGTCGATCCCCAGGGAGCGATGGGAAACTATGGGAAGTGGGGGGGGGAGACAAAGACCCAGCAGATATGGGGAAATACGGGGAATCATGTTATTTGTGTGTATTTCGGGGGTGGACAGAACCCCCACCCTGACACGTCGAGTAGTGAATTGTCCGTTTTCGGTTCTCGAGAGGGCGCCGCGGCCGTCCTTTTCCAGGCCGGCGCCCGCCGGGTTTGGACCCGAGGTCGTTTTCACTAAACTGTCCATCCCCGAGTATTGATTTGTGTGTCCCAGGGCCCCTCCACTGGAGCGGTGCTCCAGGAGCCGCCTGGCTTTCGTCTGATCGGCCCCCCACAGGGCCGACCGGCCCAGGGGGGGGGGGGGAACGGCGACGTCGGCACGACTTGAGGCGCCTTCCGGCGCCAGAGGCACCAAAAGGAGGAGGAGGGGGGAGGAGGAGGAGGAGAAGGAGGAGGAGGAGGAGGAGGTGGGGGGAGGAGGAGGAGGAGGAAGCGGAGGAGGAGGCGGAGGAGGAGGGAGGAGAAGGGAGGAGGAAGAGGAGGACGAGGAGAAGGAGGAGGAGGAGGAACACGAGGAGGAGGAGGAGGAGGAGAAGGAGGAGGAGGAGAAGGAGGAGGAGCGGCAGGCGCCGTGACTCTGCGTCCGCCCTGGGCACTCTGTTGTTCCACTGCTTCATGCCCCTCCTGTACCTCCGCACGCGCCGGCGCTGCTCATTTAGCGCTGCACTTCGCGAAGTCGGACTTCTAACCGATGACCCCCGGTAAAGATGTACTCCCCCCCTTCCCCCCTCTGTTTTTTTTTGATCCCGTGTCAATCGGATTTCATTCTGGAGAGGGGCGCGGAGGCCGAACCTGAGAATCCCCGAGGGGAAGTTGCGAATCGAAGTTGCGATCATCTCATGTTGGCTAGCAGCAGCATCAAAACGCTGAGCATGGCCATGATGGTCTCACCGCTTCAGCTTCCGCAATCACGAGCGCGTCGCAGGGCTATGGGGTTCTCATCAGTTCAGTTGTCCCAAGTCACGAACGTGCGGCAGGGCCATGGGATTCTCACTTTCTCAGCCGTTCCCGAGTCAGGAACGTGTGGCAGGGCCACGGGGACCGATAGGATTTTGAAGTTGCATGCGTTTTTTTCGTCATCATCATCAGCATCGCCATCATCAGCATGGTCATCATCATAGTTAACATCACCTTCCCCGGGGAAATCGTTGAGTATCCCCGCCAGACCCCCTAACTCTATTATCCCACGGGAATTATTATCATCCGGAGTCGGTTATTCTTTTGCAAGAGCGCTACACAGTCCGAGGATCCAAGCTGGCGCACCGTCAAAAAGGAGGAGGAGGAGGACGAGGGGAAGTCCGTTCCAGAGCGTTCTGGGACGGTCTCCGAGGGTTGCGGAACGCTCTGAGGAGGCCGCTGCGCCCGAGGCATCCTTCAGAGCCGCCGGCTCTCGCAGAGGTTCCCGACTCATCCTCGCCCTCTGATATCCTCCTCCTCCTCCTCCTCCTCCTCCTCCTCCACGTCTTCTCCTCCCCCTCGTCCTGCCACTCCTCCTCCTCCTCCTCCTCCTCCTCCTCCTCCTCCTCCTCCTCCTCGTCCTGCCACTCCTCCTCCTCCTCCTCCTCCTCCTCCTCCTCCTCCTCTTCCTCCTCCTCCTCCTCCTCCTCCTCCTCCTCCTCCTCCTCCTCCTCCTTCCCCCCGCCTGTCGCTCGCCTCGCGCGCCTCGCCTCGCCTGCTTCCCTGGGCTGCAGGGCGCGGGGTGCGCTTCCCCTCGGTGCGTTCCCCAGCCCAGACCCGGCCTTCCCAGACGCTCGCGCCTCATCGACTGCGGACTCGGGGCGGCAGCACCGCGCGCCCGTCCACGGGAGGGCCGGGAGGGCAGGAACCGTCCACGGGAGGGCGAGGAGGCGGGCAGCCGCTGCAGCCCACGACTCGGGGCGGGCGCCGAGCCTGTGCAGCACCCGCGCGCCCGGCCAAGAGCACGGGCAGCAAGGGGCCATCCACGGGAGGGGCAGCAGCACCCTCGGCTGCTCCTCCTCCTCCTCCTCCTCCTCCTCCTCCTCCTCCTCCTCCTCCTCCTCCTCGTCCTGCCACTCCTCCTCCCTCCTCCTCCTCCTCCTCCTCCTCCTCCTCCTCGTCCTGCCACTCCTCCTCCTCCTCCTCCTCCTCCTCCTCCTCCTCCTCCTCCTCCTCCTCCTCCTCCTCCTGTGTTCGGCAGGCGTCTCCATATCCGAGAAGCAGAAGGACAAAGACCCAAAGAACATCCCGGAGCTCAGCGGCGAGGACCGCGGCCGCTGCACGCTACACTCTGGGCCCGGGCCTCGCCTATCTCCGCCTCGGAGCGCTTCTGGGCTCGGCCATGAGGCACCCAGCCAGGGAGAAGCAAGATGCGAAGGATACTGTGCAGCAAGGGCAAGGGTAGAAGTAGGAGGAGGAAGAGGAGGAGGAGAAGGAGGAGGAGGAGGAGCGCATCCGCCTCTTCCTCTTTTACCTCCTCTGCGGTTGCTCTTCCTCGACCTGGATGCAAGGGAAAGGGTGAAAGGGGGAAAGGGCAAAGGGAGAGGGAACCAGAACGGGAACATGGGTAAGAGGTGAAATCAGAGCAGGCCAGTGCAGAAGAGACAGAAGCGGAGGAAGAGGATGCCGACATGATTCATGATGGGAGAGTTGAGACAGGAAGGGAGGCCGCCAATTCTTCCACCAAAGCTATGTTCACGCCTGTTGTGAGCGCTTCTTGTTGTCATCGAAAGCTTCCTGTTGCCACAGCAAGAGCTGCGCTCCATCCCCCGATGTGAGCCTCTGCTTCCCCGCAGGACCTGGAGACCATGAGGGAGTCATGCCGATTAGGGCGCGAGGTGTCGGGAGAGGCAAACGGGCACACTCCCCAACCACCCAGCGTCGTAAGCGAATTCGGCGAATGGTTGTGCGCCATTGGAAACGAGGCAGGAGTTATGCGAAGTTGGAAGAGGCTAGGTTGTGTCACGTACTGGTGTCATAGATCGCGTCGCGTGTCGTAGCGTAGCGCCGCACATCATACCGTGCATGGCGTAGAGTCGCATCGTACTTCATCCTAGTGCGCAGAATACCCTGACATCGGTAAACAAACATAGCCGACAGTAGCACAGCGTCGCGTAGCATAGCGATGTATGTAGTGTTTCCAAGCACAGCGCAGCGGATCCCCAGCATCCAGCAGCAACGCACAGCAGATCGTAGCGTCGCATAGCCTGTCTTAGCACGTCGTAGCGTTGCTTTGCATGCTTCCGCATGCCGCAGCGCAGCGAAGGGGCCTTGGGCGTGGGACCTACTAGTGGTCCCAGGCCCCCTCGACGGGAGTATTTCGCTATGTTCGGCCTCCGAGGGGCCTTCCCCGGCTTCGGGACCTTCAAAAAACGACTCAGGACGATAGGGAGCCCACAAAGGACGTACGCGCCCAGCTATGTACATGAACACGGCCCCTTGACCCGCGAGACCTGCCGCGCGATACGAACATTCGCTCAATGCGAACTCTCGAAACCAGCGTGGATTCATGTACATGTACGTCCTTCTTTCGCTCCTGAGATGAACAGCTGGTCCCGGGGAAGGTGTCCAGACCTCTGGGGGCCCGCGGTCCCGTTGCCCTACGGCGTGGGACCTGCACGAGGCGTTCCGGCAAGGGCCTCGCTTTCGAGGGTCATGTTGGTCGACGCGCGAGAGGCGGCCTACTGGGTCAGGTTGTTGTGTCTGCAGTCGCCAACGTCGGCGCGAGCATCGACATTCTGAAGTCCTGGGGCGCCGCCACGTCGCGGGAGAAACGTGCGTCTGCTTCCGATGGGGGGTGCAGCAGTGGTGCTGGACCCGGTTGTCGGCCATGCGTAAGAGTGCCCTGTCGCCGGAGTTGCCTGTGGTGCGGGCTCACCGGGGCCCCCAGATGGCCGAATGATATGATCGACGGCAGCGGCCTGCGCGCTCCCGTCTGGCCTCCCCGCGGCGCTCCCGAAGGTCGCGCACCAGAGGTCGCTCTTGCCTAGTGTTAAGTCGGGCCTGTCCCTCTGCAGGAGGGAAATGCAAACACAGTCAAAAGATTGCCAGGGAACGTTTTTATTTTGTTTTTCCTATGTTTGATGTCTCGGCTTCTTCTTTTTGATTTGTGTTTAGCCAGTCTTCGATGGTTCGCCACAAAATAATTTGTCTGTAGGAGAACACGCCCGACCTACGCCCATGGTTGCTTTTTTGTGTCGCCGACGGTTGCGAAGACTTGCCTCGCACCACGCGGCCAATCGGCCCGTGCGGCGGGCTCTGGTGGAATTTTTGCCCCTGGCGGAGAGGTCGGCGTCATTGCCTCGCATCACGCGGCCAATCGGCCCGTGCGGCGGGCTCCGGTGGAATTCTTGCCCCTGGCGGAGAGGTCGGCGTCCTCGGCGGGCCTGGGCCGTGGCAGCACGGGCCATCCTCGAAGAAGCGGGCGCCCCCCCCCCCCCGAGGGGGCAGTCCCCGGACGACGCCCCATTGCGCCCCCCCAGGAGGAGGAGGAGGAGGAGGAGGAGGAGGAGGGAGAGGAGGAGGAGGAGGAGGAGGAGGGAGGAGGAGGAGTGGAAGGAGGAGAGGGAGGAGGAGGAGGAGGAGGAGCAGGAGAGGAGAGGAGGAGGAGGAGGAGGAGGAGGAGGAGGAGGAGGAGGAGGAGGAGGAGGAGGAGCAGGAGGAGGCGGAGGAGGAGGAGGAGGAGGAGGAGGAGGAGGAGGAGGAGGAGGAGGACCAGGTCGTGGGGGGCCCTGTGCAGCACCTGCATGGCCACCGGACCTTCTGTGTTGAAAAACAAAGACAGTAAGAACCCGTGCGGCCGAGCTTACGTTTTTCTGAGTTCGGGCTTCCTGGGGTGCACGCCTGGGCCGCGAGGCGAACAGAGAAGACAGAGCGCGGAATCCATCCGGAAATTGGAGTCCAGAGAGTGGGATACCCACGTCGGATAATTTCTAAGACGTCGGAGATCTCTGGGTACGCACCACCAAATATTCACAGGGCAACTCGTGGGTCACATCTTGGCAGATATCGACTCTTAGCAAGGCTAGGATACCATATCCGGCAGGGCGTGTGCCCCCAGATGGATGCTTCCCCCTCAGATACTCGACTTGGCGGCCCGGGCGCTGAAGGACCGCCGCGCCTTTGCTTCTCCAAGGGGGGCACGCCCGCTTCCCGCCCACCATGGGCTTTGGCTGCACAGAACGGCCTGTCGGAGTGGTGGCGCAGCAGCGCGGCTTTGAGTGCACGTGCGCTGGCCCTTGCAAGTCAGGCGCGCCAGCGGGCATCGATCGGGGCGAGACGGCGCCCGCCTCGGACGCGGGCGGACGTCACTGCCGCCGTGTTCGAGCGGGGCAGGCAGCGAGCACGCCCGCACTTGCGCACGACGGCGAGGACAGTGACTGCGGTGAGCGAAGGCGCGACATGCTAGGCGCACAAGGGGTCGCTTTGTTCCGCGGGTGCCCCGCGCGGAACGCATCCGTGTGACCGCGTGTCCGCGGGATCGCCCCCCGGAGTCCTGACCGCGAAGCCGTGGCTTTGGATACGCCCGCCGCTCGGGAGGAGGAGGAGGAGGAGGAGGAGGAGGAGGGAGGAGGAGGAGGAGGACGAGGAGGACGAGGAGGACGAGGAGGACGAGGAGGACGAGGAGGACGAGGAGGACGAGGAGGACGAGGAGGACGAGGAGGCGGAGGAGGAGGAGGAGGAGGAGGAGGAGGAGGAGGAGGAGGCGGAGGCGGAGGCGGAGGCGGAGGCGGAGGCTGAGGCGGAGGACGAGGAGGAGGAGTAGGCGGAGGTGGAGGAGGTGGAGGAGGAGAAGGAGGAAGATGAGGAGGAGGCGGAGGAAGCGAGGAGGAGGAGGAGGAGGAGGAGGAGAGCCGGAAGCCGACGGGCGGGACAGCGGGCAGCGGGCAGCGGGAGATAGGGCGGCGAGCACCTCCGACGCACCAGGGCCGTGCGCTCTCGAGCCGCGTGGCGCCGCGCGGTGCGCTGCTGCGTGGGCACCGCGGAGCGAGCCTGTCGTGGGCGAGCTCTATTTTCCACCACCACCACTACCACCACCATAAGTTGGAGGCGGGAAGGAGGTGGAGGAGGAGGAGAAGGAAGAGGAGGAAGAAGAGGGTGAGGAGGAGGATGACCCCCCCTCCTACGTGTGGTGGTGGCTGTGGAAAACTGGCCCACCACTGTTGGCACCCTTGCGGAACGGTGGGGTCGCTGCTTACGGAGTGTGCCCAGGAGGCCACAGGCTTTGGAGGGGTGCCTTCGCCGATGAGATGGCAGTGATGTCCACGGGCGAGGCACGATTGGAGTTCCACCGGCTCCCAGAACCCTGGATTTCTCAGCCAATGGTTCCTCGTCCAAGGCCCTCACCGCAAGCCTGTCGTGAGCGGAAGAGCTGGCGTGCTGGCAGCGGCGCGGCGTTCGCGCAATTCGCGCGCGCGCGCGCTCCGTTGGACACTCTTGCACGCGGCGTGCGGCACTCTGGGGGCACGGGGTGGAGGGGGGGCAGGCGGAAGGGGGGCGGGGCGGCTAGGGAGGGAGCGCGCACGGGGAGAGACCCGCCGAGGTGGGTCCTGCCAGAGCCCTCCTCGGAGCCTCGCGGTCCCCTCCTTAGGAGAAGTTTGAGGATCGACGATCTCTCGCCGAGAGATCGGCGATAGGCTCTGGATGTCGAATCCGCACGTGCCAGGGCGGGGTGGGCGATCATCGGCGGCCAGCGAGGGGGGGGAAGTGAGAAGGGACGGGCCTTCTCAGAAAGCTCGGAAGCCCCCTGGCCTTGGGGAGTTTTCTAAGGCTTTCCCGAAGACAAGCGCCTCTCAGAAGGCGGCGGGGCTTCTGAGAAGCCCCGCCGCCTTCTGAGAAGGCCTCCTCCTTCTCATTTCCCCCCTTCGCTCGCCGCCGAGATCTGGTCCCTATCGGCGATGGATGGGGCAGACCCCCTTCAGGACGCAGTCGCCCAGACACGAGGGCAAGTATTGGAGGTATGGGGTGGGCGGAGGCGGTGCGGCCCCCAGAGTGCGAGTAGTGTAGCACGACGAGTCTACAGTCCTCGGGAAGGGAAGCAACGCACAGGCACAAGTGATCGTCGACTCCCAGGAGGACAGTGTGGGAGAGTATGGGGAGTGGGGGGGGTTAAGACGAACACCCAGAACATACGAGGGAAACTAGTTATGGGGAATCCTGGGATGCGTGTCTGTCTGTTTGTGTGTCCCTGGGGCCCCGTCGGCGAGGGCAAGTCTTTCTCGGGGGGGGGGGGGCGCGCGGTGCAGGTCCCAGAGGAGTGCGAGCAACGCAGGTCGACGAGCCTACACAATCCCCGGGGAGGGAAGGAGAGAGGGGGTACAGTCGGGGCCCTGAAGAAGGAACCCTTTTCGTTGGGGAGGGGCTCCGCGTTCGTCAAGGCCCCGAATGTAGGGGAACGAGAAATTAAACATAAAAAATCGGAGGTCCGCGCGGATTTCTTGGATCGGCGCTGGACCCCCCTCCCCGGCGCGCGGAGCGCGCCAGGGGCGGCGCCGGAGGCGCCGCCAGGGGGGTCCGGCGCGGATCCGAGAAGTCCGCGCGGACCTCCGAGTTTTTATGTTCATGCCATTTTTTGTTCCCCCAGAGAGAGAGAGAGAGAGAGAGAGAGAGAGAGAGAAAACAAACAAAAAAAAAGGGGGGGCATGGCGCAGCGGCAGCCGGGGAGATGGCCAGTGAGTCCAATGGTTCCTGCTCCCAGTCCCAGACGCAAGCAGGTGCTCTGCATCGCCCGCCCTCGTCGGGCGTGCGCCCCCGCGGCCGACAGAGCAGACAGGGGATGGCCAGGAGGGTACAGGACACACAGGCACAATGCATCGTCGATTCCCCAGAATATATATATATATATATATATATAGGAAAATATGTGAAGTGGGGGGGGAAGACGAGAGCCCCCAAAATGTGCGAAAATATGGAGCATCTCTTCATGTTTGTGCATTTACTTGTGTGTCCTGGGGCCCCTTCAGATGGGAGGATGCGTTTTGTCGACCGGCGGCGACCCCGCCGCAGGCGTTCAACTGTGACAGCTGCTGGCCACCCAGAACGGGTCGATGTTGAACGATCTTCGGACACGGCCGATCGTTCAAGGTTGAACGATCCCCAGGGTGTCAGGAGCAACGCGGAAGTCGGCACGACACGAACTTGCCCCGACACGGAGGGGTAGGTAGGATTGCTGGGGTGGTCCATAGAGCGGCGTTCGCATCCTCAGGCACAGCTGCTTTTAGTGAGGCTGACCATTCCGGAGGAGGCCCCCGCGACGGAGCATCTCCACACCGACCACTGTGCCTCCAGGCGGGCAGGTCCATGGCCACCGCTCGTGCCAGGGAAGCCCGCGACGGAGGGGACAGCCGCTGTCAGGTGTGGGATGGGCTGGCAAGATGTTTTTTGTTCCTTGGAAGGAGGAAGCTCAGCAGGAGGGTCTCATTACAACGGCGGCTTGCAGTATGAACTGCATGGCTAAGCATAGGAGGAGCTGTGACGGTAGGATCCGCGCCGGGAGTCGCAAGAGACGTTGGAATCGGAGTTGTAGTCGGAATTACATAGCTATGCAGCGTGTGAGGAGATGCACCAGAAGGTGCAGCAGGAACTCTAAGTAGGAGCTGACAGCATATTTGGAAGTGCACCACGGTCTGTGAAAGGGAGCTAACTTGGCACCCCAATGGGCTTTGTAGTGTGAGCTGTAACAGTAAGACCTACTGTAGGAGGCGATGGGGAGGCGTATGAGGAGCTGCACCAATTCCTGTAATAGGAACTGTCGGAGACGCTTTACTGCGGTCGGAGTTTTCGTAGAAGCTGTGCTGGCGAGCGCATTCGGAAATGTATGAGGAAAGCGAGGATGGATTATAAGCTGCACGGGGAAAAATGCCAGTAACTGCGCAGGGGGCCGGGTCAAAACTCTAGTGGCAGGAGGCAGTACGATTTGGGTTACTCAGGTTGGCCGTACGAGGTCACTAGGAACTGTATGATCAGGAGAAGTAAGGTCTGTCCTGGGGAATGCACGATGAGCTGTGGTGGTAGCTTGTTAGGAGCTGGGGCGCCGCTGCGAGCTGTGGCCCGATGCAGCTTATTGTACGGGGAATCGCGGGCATGCGCCAACACAGTTTTTGTAAACAGTGTTCTCTCGTTGCACGCAAGACGCGGTATAGTGTACTGAGACGTTCGGGGTCGCTAAATTGCAACTGATAGTTCCGCTTCGTCCCTCGTGGCGCCCCAGCTGCGACTGGGCGCTCAGAGCCGCGCGAGAGCGCAACAGTGTAATGCTCATGTCCGTCACGTCCCTCGTGGCGGCGTGGCTTTGCTCGAGGAGGCGCGCGGGAGTGTGAACAAACATGTGGCGTTGCCCGCTGCGGCTTTGCGCGCACAGGCGCGCGGAGTTGCCAACGTGCGCTTTGAAGTTTGCTTCGTCCTTCGTGGCGTTCGGATGCCGCGCTGCGTGCGGAGGCGCACGAGAGATGATCCGTGTCGTGCCTTTGGCGTGCCAGCGACGGCTTTGCGCCAGGAGGCGCGCGCGAGTGCAAACATGCAGCTGTCACTCGGAAGGCACCGAGTTATACACCCACGCCAGTCCTGGCCAGGCCGAGCCTGGGCCCAGGATCGGCGTACGTGTCTTGTCCCCAGGGCAGGAGGGCGTACACACCGATCCTGGGCCCAGGGTCATCCTAGCCAAGATCGGTGTTGGTGTATAGCTGGTGCCTTCCTGTTCGCGTTCGTTAGGATGCAACCCCTGGGAGGTCAAATTCTGATTTAGCCCGGGCCCGAAATCCCGCTTAATCTGGCTTGATCCCGCTTAATCCAGCTTGATCCGGCTTAGTCCCGCTCGATCCGAGGCCCAATCTGGCGTAACAACCCCCCTATGGGGCTTAATCCTCCTTAGCCCTTCCGACGAAAACCTCCCAGTGGTTGCCTCCTAACGTTCGCTTCGCCACCGCGTGCGCCAAAGGCAGGCGGCTCGACGCGCGCGAAGGCGGACAGGAGTGCACAGCGCAGCTTCGTTTCCGCTCGCACGGGGGCCCGCGCCGCCGCGAACTGCACAGCTTGTCCCAGCCATCCCGTGCTGTGCGCCCTCCCTCTGGAGGGACGGCGCTCCGCGCCCCTCCTGCTCTCCTCCTCCTCCTCCTTCTCCTCCTCCTCCTCCTCCTCCTCCTCCTCCTCCTCTTCCCCCTCCTCCTCCTCCTCCTCCTCCTCCTCCTCTCCTCTGTCTGCTCCTCCTCCTCCTCCTCCTCCTCCTCCTCCTTCTCCTCCTCCTCCTCATCGCCCTCCTCCCTCCGCCCATCCCTGCCCCGGCCCTCCGCTTGCACGTCTCGGCGTTTTTCATTGCGCGTTTCGTAGCCCTTTCGGGAAGGAATCCCACCGAGGCCCTCACATACAAAGGGGGGGGAGGGGGCACGCGGTTCCCCACAGCATGCCGGTGCACCCGTCACATGCTGCGTGGCCCGACAGGGAGCCCCACCGAAGCTCCCACGAGGGGGTCGCATGCGGTTCTCCACGCAATTCGGCACCCCCCTCACGTGTCTCGCGGCCCCACAGGGAACTTCACCGAAGCCTTCTGGGGGGGGGGGGGGAGAGGGTGTCGCATGCGATTCCCCACCCATTTCGGCACATCCCTCACGCGTTTTGTGGCCCCATACGGGGGCTTTACCGAAGCCCTCAAGGGGGAGGGGGTCGCATGCTGTTCCCCGCCGGTTTCGGCACACCCTTTACAGGTTTCGTGGCCGCATAGGGAGGGAGGATCTCCACCGAAGCCGTCAGGGGTTGGGGTTCGTATGCGGTTCCCCACCGATGTCAGCACACCCTTCACACGCACCATCGGGAGCTTCACCGAAGCCCTCAGGTGGAGGAGGGGGCGCATGCGGTTCCCCAGGCAAGTTCCGGCACACCTTTCACCCGCTTCTTGGCCTCATGGGGAGTTCCATTGAAGTCCCCAGTGCCACAGTTCGCATGCGTCCGCAGACAAATGTCAGCACATCCCTCACACGCTTCGTGGTGCCAAGGGGAGCTCAACGAAGGCCCCAGTGGCAGCGACCGCACGCGTCCACAGGTAGCTTTACTGAATGCGATACAGAAGTGCGGTACTCGCAACTGCATATGCCTGGGTCCTTCTCCAGGGTAATGCGTTTTGGTTGTCATTCCGAGTGTCAGCGAGTGCGCGACGTCAGTTGTTTTTTGTTCGTAGCGCGTCAGTTCCACTGTTCTTCGATGTGGATTGGGCAGAAATAGAAACTATATGTTCAACCGCTCCCTCCCAGTTTTTCCCAGATGGGGGGGTCGAAAACAACAGAATAACAGCAAGGCGTCGCCAGGGTGGGGGCGGTCGATCGTTAAAAACACGTGCCGGGGAACCACGGTGGCACATATTTGGCGGTGAAGGGGACGAGCGCATGGACACCGAGGAAGACGAGAAAGAATAATGGGGAGGAGGAGGATGCGAGCGCCGCCCAAGGTTTGGTCACGCACCCGCTGGGCTTTTTTGCAACCTCGCGGTGTGCTTGAAAATTCCACCCGCCTCTACTGGCACTTCTCCCGCCAGCGTCACACCCCTCCCAGCCTGGCGTCACGGGGGACTTCCTCGACCGGGTCGTCTACCACGCGTGCTGCGAGAGGCAGATCTACCCGTCGCCGCTGAACTACTACAACTTCCCCAAGGACTCGCACTTTGAGGGTAGCAGCGCGGCAGCCGCAACCATCGCAGGCCCAGAGGTTGACACCAACACCAAGATCAGCGGTGTGCCTCCACCGAGGGAAGACGATCCAGATCTCGGTGATGGTGGTAATATTCTGGCTTCCAAGGTGACCGAAATATTACCACCAACACCGAAATCTAGGATCATCTTCCCCCTGTGGAGGAAAACACCTCGTGTTGGTGTTGGTGCTCATTTCCAGGCCTCCAAAACCAGGGAGATGTGCTTGCTTTTCATCGGTTCAGCTCGCGAGGGTCTTGACTTTGAGCCAGTCGGCCGCATGGCCCAGGTCGTTCTTGACAGGGCGTCGGGAAGGAGGCTCGACAGTCCGTGCATCATCTTTGTTCGCAGGGACCGGTAAGGTGGAGGGACCCCGCAGGGCAAGACTGGGCGCCGCACCCAAAACCCCAGAGGACCGCCTAAAACGACACGAAGATCGGGACAAAATCGGATCGGGATGACTCGAAGTCTCTGAGAATCGGCGGGTTTGGAGGATGTATGGGGCGCCGCGGCCGCTCCAGAGCGTTCCGGAACGCTCTGAGAGCGCTCCGGAACGCTCTGGATCCATTTATCCCGATCCTGGCCCTGTTTTAACCGTCGAGCCTGTGGGCCCATCGCAGCACTGCCCAGGCTGCCTGACCGGGGCAGAGGCCCCGCCCGAGCGAGGCGCGCCGGGGGGGTGCGGGGCTCTCGGCTGCGGGCTGGAGGCGGCCGTGTGCCGTTCTTTGTGCTGGCCCTTCCGGGGCTCTGGAGACCTCCACGGATCGGGGGCGGAAAAGAGGGGGGTGACGACTAGGGGGGGGTGGATATCATGGCGGGGGCCATGATATCTCCCCAGATCTCAGGGCGCCTCTTCTTGATTCATTACATCCCCGGCCCCCCCGCTGGGCCGCGCACATGCCGCCGGTCATGATTTGCACCCCCCCCTCTTGGCCGCTCCCGAACGGAGGGGTCTGCAGAGTTCTGGGAACGCCTGGGTGACTCCAGCTGCCTGCGTTGACCCCAGGGCCCACGGCCGGTAGCAGGCGGACCCTACAGCAGGCCTCGGCCAGCCATCGTCTGTGTCTGTCTCAGCGGAAGCAGTGCGGTTCCTCGTCGTGCTCCTCCTCCTCCTCCTCCTCCTCCGCCTCCTCCTCCGCGAACACTGGATGGCACAAGCCCGTTGTAATGCCTTCTTGCTCCCTTCTTCTCGGGTCTCAGCACGTCAGCATGAGCCTTTCAGGGTAGCCGTTACTTCAAGCCCCTCCAGAGCAGAAAAAAGGCGCGGCGCCCAGTCAGTGTGCGTGTCTCCGAACGAGGCGCGCCATGGAGGAAGGCGACGGAGGGGTACGATCAAGGTGTTTTTTGCGATAGTGGGCACGGTGTTCCATTCCTGTGGAAGTACTGTTCATAAAGTCTTGGACCTGACAACAATTTGCATGGTGCTTGAACGAATGAAGCTTCGGTGAGCGGCGAGGGCGGCATACCTCATCATGATGTTGATGATGCCGTCGATGACGACGGAATTGTTTTTGTGTTGGATCTGGGTTGCGATATTGCGTCAAGTAGAAAGCGTGAGTGTGACATGGAAGGCCTTGGCGCTAAGACATGACAGTTGCTGCACTTATGCACTTCGGCTCCCCTTCGACTCCCGCTTTGTTTGTATTCATGCATGTGCAGCGCCAAGTTGTGGCATCACCATTCGCGTGGGATTATATGTCACGCGGCCGCATGCATGATCGGTCAAAGCTCATCGAATACTGCTTGCACGTCTGCTCGCTGTCGTGCTCATGCAAGCCGGCGTTATCCAGTCGAACCCACTCTCGCTCTGGCTAAGTGGCCATCTCACACACCTGTTGACCGATACGTACGCATTCCGAACCAGCCGCCCTTGCATTCGCACTCGCTCTCTTCCTGAAACGCTCGAATACTTACTCAGCCATTCAGGCACAGAGATTCAGGCACTGGGTCACCAACTCTTTCTTCGGCACTTTACTGATGCACTCATTCCTTCCCAAGCCACTGGCTCATTCGCTCGCACAGTCGTCTACTCACCATTTCCGTCGTTCGTCCACACATGCCCGTGAGGCGATCGGCCATTCAATTGATCGACAATATTGCGTACCAATGGCTTCCAGTATCCACAGGGGCCATGTTGGTGTCGTGCCCCATCGGCAGATATGGTTGCATTGCATTGGCGAGCAGATGCTGGTCGCCACCCGAGAGCTCTTCGACATTTCGGCGCCTCCGCAGGTCATCTGCCACGGCATACCCGACATGCGGCCGATCGAGGAGCCCCCCTCCCCGGCCAGCGACCTGCCAGGGATCCACGGCAGGAGGTGGCCACAAGGTTCGCTTTGTGGAGGGCGGGCGACAAGATGCAGGGAGAGGGGGGGCAGGGTCCGCGATGCCCGAGACTCGCCCGGTCTGCCACCGCCTGGCCGTTCTCGTCGGGCCCGCGTCGAGGAGGCAGGCCCGCAGCCTGCCGGCCCCGAGCGGATCCGGGGATTCGTGGCGAGCGGCATGCTCCGGAGCATGCCCGTTGCGCATGCCATGCCGCCCGTCGTCCGTGGCCGCCGCCCTCCGCCATCGGAGGACGGCGACATCGTGAACCTGGACGTGTCCATTTACCACAAGGCAGCCTCCCCACGTTTTCGGGGGCTCTGGGCAGGACGCCAACTCCGGAGGATCAATGACTAGGGAAGGGGATATCATGGCGGGGGCCATGATATTTCCCCTGATGTCATGGCGCCTCTTCTTATTTCATGACGTCCCTGGCCCCCCCGCTGGGCCGCGCACGTGCCGCCGGTCATGATTTGCACCCCCCCTCTTGGACACCCCCCTCTTGGCCTCTCCCGAGAGCAGCGTTCTTTGGAAGCCTGGAGCCGCTAGTGGATACCATCTGCGCAACACAGCGCCTCGAGGCGTTTGTCCGACGCTGTATCCTGTCGGCGGCCCCGCCCCCCCCCCCACAGCGGCCTCCCGGGCAAAACAAGCATTGAAAAGCGCGCGAACGCCGTTCCCCGAACAAGCCCGCACGTGTCCTGCATGACACGGGCCCTGCGTGCACGGCGACCCCTTGCTCCGTCACAGGTCCCCAGCAAGTTTCGATGTCTGCTCTCCGAGCCAGCGCAGCGTGCCGGCGATGCCGCGCTTCCAGTATGGCGCCCCCGCGCTGCAGGATCACTCTCGGCAGAGCGCCCGCGCCTGCGCTTCACCGCTGCGTCGCATGAAGTTTCAGGCAGCTGGCTTCCAAGTGGGCCCGCCAGGAAGCCAGAAAGATCCACACGGGTGCGCGTCATTCATGAAAGAGTGTGTGTAAGCGCGCTCCCGTGCGTGCGTGCGTGGATGCGTGGTGTGTGTGTAGAGCCTCTTCCTACTCTGCCTGCCTGATTCCGCCGTGTGGCTGCGAGCGCGGCCGCGACGCGTAAATGTGTGTGGAGTGTGTATGTGTGCGCGCGCGCTTGTTCCGTGCTGCTTGCTCGACTTGCTCCGCCTCGTCACCGCGCGCGAGACCGCGATCGCCAAAGAGTGTGTGTGTATGCGTCCGTGTTTCCTTGCGTCTCCCTTTAGGTGGTGCGAGTTGCCGCCGCCTCGCCGCCAACGAAAAAGAGTTTCCTCTCGTCTCCCTTCGACAACTCTGCCAGATTCGGCCGTGTCGCTGCCCGCGTGACCGGGACACCTCTAGCTTGAAACAGTGTGTGTGCCTGCCTGTCACGCTGTCCTGGTGCGCGCGCTTCATCGACCCGTTCTGCGCCGCGCCGCCGCGTGCGTGGCCGCGACGCCAGAATGTGTGTCTGCCTGCCTGCCTGCCTGCTTGCCTGCCTGTTTTCGGCGTCACCCCAACATACCGATACTATGTGTGCGTCGCCCCCTCAGGGGCGACGCGCGCACCGAGAAATCTTCTGGTATTTGCGTCGTGGCGGGCGCTTTCTGGCCAGACCGCTCGGGAAACGATCTACAAGATGGGTCTACTGCATGTTCGGTTCGGACGCGGGCCTGCAAGGAGGACGCATCGCATCGGTATGTCTCTGTGCGCGCCATGTTCCTGTCTGTGGGTCTGTTCGCGGCAGGGCTTCCACTCCGACCTGAACGAGACCTTCCTCGTGGGCGACGTCCCGGAGGGCCGCCGCAAGACCGTCCACGCGGCCTACGACTGCCTGCACGCCGCGTCCCGCTGCCCCCAGCGCGCCCCTGCTCGCGAGTCCAGCCGCCCGCACTTGTGGTTCAGCGATCGCCCCGAGGGGAGCTTTCGTCCAGGACCCTGAGATCCTGGCGACTCCATTTTTTCGAGCCGGGCGCTTTCGCCTTTTGTCAGGTCCCGCGGGACCCTCACAGATGGATCCGGCTCGAAAAACGGCGCAGAAAGATGGGGTCCGGGGCTCGGGGCGCGGATTCTCACGATGTTGCATTTTTTTCGCTTCGTCGGATCTCAGGGGACAAGGATCGGGATAGATCGCTCCAGGGCGTTCCGGAACTGGCCCAGACCGTCCCGGAAGGCGCGGGAACGGCCGCAGCGCCCCCAATGCATTGTCGGCCGGATTTCGGAGATCCCTGAGTTGTCCCGATACGTTTTTGTCCCATTCTTGGTCTTGTTCCCAGCTTGGACCAGGGCAGGCGCGCCTCGAGATCGAAAGCGCTCTTGTCTTGCCCTCCCCCCTCGATTTCCCCCCTTCTGCAGCAGCGACGCCGCGAGGCTCCGCAGCCGCATTGCCTGTTGGCCGCGAGACGGTCCCGAGCTGTCCACGGTGCGGGCGGCGGACGGTCCGGTAGTGAGCGACAGGACAGACGTCGTTCCCGGACTCCTTCCGACGGGCTGCGTCCAGATTTTCGGCCAGCCGAGCAGTCGAGGTCGCTTGATGGCCAGCGGTGGTGCCTCTCCCTGGTTGGCCCACAAGGGGGTCCAGCTACAAGGGGTTGGTGCAATAGGTCTGGTTCAGTAGATCTGTGCGTTGCAACAGCTTTGGGGTGTGCATTCCATTCCTGTCCGCAGATGTATTGATGGATTTTCGCGTGCAATGCATTTGCTGCGGTACAATAGTTCCGTTCTCCGTCGCAGTGCATTTGCAATACAATTGCCCCAAATCTGATACCACGCCTTTTCAGCTGGACCCCCTTTTGGGTCAACCAAACTCTTGCCCGTCCCTGCCCCGCTGCCTGTGAAAGAGAGCTCTTGCGCACGCGTGGGGCGCGCCCACCCTTCGATGTCCTGGCTTCCTCCCTTCTCCCGTCTTTTCTCGTGGTCGTTCCCTTGCCGCTCTTCTCTCGGCTACGAGTACTTCAGAGGGATCAGGCTCTACATCGAGCCGCATCGCCGATGCATCGGCGATGCGGCGCGATCCTCCGACCCTATCTGCTCCGACCCCATGTAGGAGGCCTCTAACCCTGGGGGTGGGCACCCTCGATTGTGATCTTATGGTTTGGGGTGTTGTGGCCAGCGCAGGGTCTCGTGTTCTTGAGGGATGTGCTTCAGTCCGAGGTCCGACCGTACTCTCCAGACGGGACGATGAACGTCCGCCAGCCGGCGCACAGACAGCAGGCGGCCTGGAACTCCGGCGAGGCTTGCCAGAGGTGGTGCATCCTGTGTTTGCACCCTCGATGACGCAGCGCAAGTGGGGTCACCGAAGACACAATTAGTTGCACGCTTGGCCGGGGCTCATATGCAAGGGCGCCAGTTGGCAGCCTGCCACTGCGGGGTCAGTGGCAAGACAGGCTGGCCCTCCAGGGGAGGCGCAAGCAGCACATCCATAGAGTCTACATGCAACAACACATGCAACTCAAAAGACGACGGATCCGAAAGCCACTCGCCGTGCTCAGGTTTGAATTGCAAGTGATCTTCTATGCCAACTGGCGCAGTGGAGCCCCACAGTAGCAGGGGGAGTCGTAACTGCAGCTGCAAGCGCAACCGCAATGGGGTGACTCGACCCCCCCAGTGGTGCCAATGGATGCAGGTTCAATCAGGCCGCGGACACGGAGCCCGCAGGCCGTATTAATCCGAACATTCGACCACATAGTTCCACCTGCAGGCAGGAACAGATGTGCCACGCATCATGTGATCAGGTACCAAGCCGGTTGTCGATAAAGCCGCACGGGTCCAGAACGAGCAGAGACTTTCAGGCACAAGCTCACCTTGGAAGAAAGATGCCGGCTGACCTGAGCCGTTGGCGAAGACGGTCTATTGTCTTGGCATCGCTCTGACGTGTGCAGTTTTTCATCGGCGAGAGCCTTCGAGGAGCATCCTCGACCGTGAGGCCGACAAAAGCACTCACAAAACCGAACAAGGCACGGGGAGTGGACGTCCGAGCGATGGCAAGGCAGGGTGCCGAAGTATGCTGTTGAGCTCCCTCTCCCGGGCCTTTCTCCTCCCCTGCCTGCGCCCTGCTCCTCCTCCAGCAGCAGCAGCTCAGCACTCCGACCTCCACCCTCCAGCATCCGACTTTCCACCTCCACTTCCACCTGCCGACCACCTGGCACTCCGACTCCAGCATCGGGCTTCCGACTCTCCACTTCCACCTGCACCACTTGACTTCCAGCGTCCACCGGCTCATAACTCAGCACCCCGACCTCGGCTAACAAGGCCTACAAGCACTGAGGGCCCCGGCCCCCCCGCGCAGGCCCTCAAGGGCCCCGCTCCCGGCGGAACCGCGCGCTCGCCTCGCCTCGCCTCGCCTCCTGCCGAGAAGGAGCACAACTTCTGCCCTGCCCGAAGGGCCGTGCGCTCTGCTCACACCTGGTCGATCGGGCGCCTCGCGGAGCGGCCCACCCCCCCGCCAGTGCGAGGGCGTGCGGTCTTCCTGGCCCTGAGGCCGAGGGCGCCAGGAAGCAGAGCAGCGGGTGGGGATGAGGTCGGCGTTCCCGGGCTTCCGAGGCGCCCCTTCGAGGCGAGAGGCGAGGGGATGGGACGGGATTGATCGGGGGAGGCGAGCCCCGTCGCCCTCCCCCCCCCCTTTTCTCGCTCCCCCCCTTCTCGCTCCGTGCCTCTCCTCTCCCTTCTCTCTCGGCGCCCCTCCTCTCTCTCTCCTCGCCTCCTCTTTTTGCTGAGGTCGCAGATGATCAAGCCCGGGGTCATGTACCGTGACGTCGGCACCGTGATCTCGGCCACCGCTGCCAAGCACGGCCTGCTACCTCAGCCCCGGTCTTCGCAACGGGCCGGCGGGGCGCCATCCGAGCTTGTCCCCCCGTTGTCTTTGCCGTCTGCATGACTTCACGTCTTGTGAACGCCTTGCGGCCAGTCGAAAATAGGTCGAAAATTGTACTAAACTGATTTTTTCAAAAGTAAGTGTTTCTAGATTTGTACAAAACTGGGTCGTAATTTATATCAAACATTCGTTTCGACCAAGCCGCCGATCCTGAAAGGGGACCCCGAAGCGTGTGGGAGGCAAGGAATCGAAGGGCAAGGGTTCCCCCAGGGAGGGGTGCTCCCCCACGGGGGGGGGGGCTCACAAGCCCCAGACCCCCCACCCCTACCCCCCCCCCCCCCCCGAGAATTCCCCCTCCCAGGCGGGGAAGGGATCAAAGGGAAGTGGCGGCTTCCCTTCGACTCGATTACGACGTTGCTCGATTTCTCTTTGGCTGGGACGTTTGACGAGGAGTGCCCACGGACAGGGACATAGGGGGAGCGGTGACGGCGACAACGACGACGGCGACGACGACGACGAGGACCACTCAAACGGAAATGCCGCACACACTCCGACAGGGCCCATTTGTATGTCCTCGATATGTCTGCCTCACTGCGTTTCCATCATTATGTCAGTATCCTTTCTCTTCCTACACCTCTCTGCATCTCTCTCTCTCTCTCTCGCTCTCCCTCTCTGTCAATATTTCCATGTTTTCTCTAAACCGTTCGTTGGTAAGGTTTTCGCGCACTGTTCCCAATGATCTTTTTGGTGCTGGGTTTTCGTTTTCAAGAAACAGTACCCCTCGTCTCCTTCCCTCCCGCTGCCCCTTTCCTCCCTTGCTCCCTCCTCCCATCCCTGCGTCTGCCCCCCACACCCAACACCTTGGCCAAATAGGGAGCTTCAGCGAAGGATCCAGTGGCTGTGATCACATGCGCAGCGTTTCGTGGGAAACTCGGCAGTCCAACCGACGGCCCCAGTGACTGTGATCACATGCGCCCGGGCCACTCAGTACAGCGCTCCGTGGCCTAATAGGCAGCTGCACCGACGGCCCCAATGGCTGTGATGACATGCGCCCGCGCACGAGAATACGGCGCGTCGTGGCCCCACAGGCGGCTGCACCGAAGGCCCCAGTGGCTGTGATCGCCCGCGCCAGAGAAACAAAGCTTCCTAGGCCCCTTGGGAGTCCCACCGAAGGCCCCAGTGGCAGTGATCACATGCTTCCGCGCCACCCTGTACAGCGCTGCGTGGCCCCGTAGGGATCTCCACCGCAGGTCCCAGCGGGTGTGATCACATGCGCCGGCGCACGAGGGTACAGCGCTTCCTGGCCCCCGAGGGAGCTCCACCGAAGGCCTCGGCGGCTTTGATTACATGCGTCCGCGCCCGAAGATAGAGCGATTCGTGGCCCCACAGCAACTTCCACCGAAGGCCCCTCTGGCTGTGATTACATGCGTCCGCTCCACCCAGTACAACGTTTCGTGGCCCCTGTGGGAGTCCAACCGACGGCCCAAGTGGCTGTGATCACATGCGCCCGCGCCACTCAGTACAATTTTTCGTGGCCCCATAGGGAGCTCCACCGAAGGCCCCAATGGCTGTGATCACATGCGTCCGCGGTTCTCAGTACAGCGTTTCGTGGCCCCACAGCAAGCTCCACCGCCGGCCCCAGTGGCTGTTATCACATGCGTCCGCGCCGCGCAGCACAGCGTTTCGTGGCCCCATAGGGAGCTCCATCGTCGGCCCCAGTGGACGTGATCACATGCGTCCTCGTTTCAGAATACAGCGGTTCGTGGCCACATACGGAGCTCCGCCAAAGGCCTCAGCGGCTGTGATCACCGAGAATACAGCTCTTCGTGGCCCCACGATCTCCACCGTCGGCCCCAGTGGCTGTGATCACAAGCGCCCGCGGCATCCAGTACAGCTCTTCGTGGTCCAACCGACGGCCCCAGTGACTGTGACCACGTGCGCCCGCGCAACCCAGTACAACGTTTCGTGGTCCCACAGAGAGCTCCACCGAAGGCCCCGGTGGCTGTGAACAAATGCGTCCGCTCCACCCAGTACAGCGTTTCGTGGCCCCACAGCAAGCTCCACCGTCGGCCCCAGTGGATATGATCACATGCGTCCGCGCTCCAGAATACAGCGTTTCGTGGCCACATGGGGAGCTTCTACGAAGGGCGGCTGTTATCACATGGTCCAGCCCCGGGGAATACAACGCTTCGTGGCCCCATAGGGAGTCCGACCGGAGGCCCCAGTGGCTGTGATCACATGCGTCCGCGCCACGCAGCACAGCGCTTCGTGGCCCCATAGGGAGCTCCACCGCAGGTCCCAGCGCATGTGAGCACATGCGTCCGCGCCACCCAGCACAGCGTCTCGTTGCCCCAAAGCAAGCTCCACGGGAGGCCGCAGTGGCTGTGAGCACATGCGTCCGCGGCACTCAGTAATTACATCGCTTCGTGGCCCCATAGGAATCTCCACCGTCGGCCCCACTGACTGTGACCACCTGCATCCGTGCCACCCAGTACAGCGTTGTCTGTCCTGCGCGTGGAGAAAGTCACCGCAGGCCCTGGCGGCGGTGTCCACACGCGTCCCCCCGCGCATGTAGGTATTCCCTCATACGTCGAGTGGCCCCATACGGAGCTCACCCTCCTTTGTCCCACCTGCCCTGCGGCACTCACACTCGCATCTGGTTGGGTCTTTCGCCCGGACAAGCCCAGTGAGGCAGACGGGGCCACCGAAATCGATTGCCCATCGTGGCCCCTCAGGCACCCCATCGTTGCCCCCTATCGTAGACTGTGTAAGGCTGTTCAGAGTCTTCTGCCGCAGGGGTGCAATATTTGATGATTTGCGTGTCTCTCTCTCTCTCTCTCTTTCTCTCTCGCTCGCTCTTTCCCTCTCCCCCTCTACCTCCATGTCAATATATGCACCTATACACAAGGGGTAGCTACACACGCTCTCTCCCTCCATGCCAATACATGCATATATGCACACCCATTGCGCATCCCTCTCTATCATTCGCGCGCGCACACATGCACACTCGAACGCAAACAACTACAGTTGCACATCCACGCATACACTTTTTCGCGATCGTGGCCTCGCGCGCAGCGACGAGGCAGAGCAAGTCGAGCAAGCAGCACGGAACTAGCGCGCGCGGCCAGGCCCTCAGAAGCGGGATCCCATGGGATCGAGCACCCAAAGGCCACCCTGGCGCGAGTGGCGAATGAGACAGTTGTGACACCACCCGAAGACGGAGACGAGCAGTACGACGACGCGGCCACACGACAGCGACTGAGTTCAAGGCAGCGGCGCACTACACGGCGAGGAGGACACCGACACTGCCAAACGTCGCAGCGGAGGCAGACTGAGGTGGAGGGCGGAGGTAGTGCCAGTGCTCCCCAGAGCAACCCGTGTGGTCCGCCCGTCGGGGACGAGGCGTGTGGAGGCAGCCTGCTGGCAAGGCGGCGCACGAGGCCTCGGAAGAAATTGGCGAACGCTCATGCCGCACTCAGCTGCCAAGGCCCCCCCCAATGAATGATTAATGTTGGCGGTGGGTTGCATGAGCTGCATTTCGACCGCAGTCTTCCCCTCGCGTGCCAACTTTCACCACCCACCAAACCACCCCAACCCAACCCGAAGGCTCAGATTTACCCTCGATTTCTAGTGGGGGGGGGTCCGGGAACATCGAAAAAACACACATGGAGCCCATACCCCCCCCCCAACCCGAAATTCGGGTCTTCGGGTTGGGTTGGGGTGGTCTGGTAGGCAGTCAAACTTTGAGCTTCGGGGAGCAAGGGGGTGCCCACGAGTTGTCTTTCCCCCTACCGACGCGCACGGCAAACGCGCGCACGCCGGAACGTGCAACGTCCTCATCCAAGGGGGCGGCCCCGTGCCACAGGTGCTTAGCCGGGGGGCGAGGCCGGGCCGGCGACTAAGGCCGCGGCATACGCTCGAGTCGGGCATGTCCCCCATACGGGCGGATTTCGGACGAAAAATGGAAAATGTCAAGCATATGCAAGAGTTGTTCAAACTAAAAAAAAAAACGTCTCCAGACTACGTTTGGCTATTTTTGAACAGTTCTCCTGCAGAGGGACGTGCCCGACTTCAGCATACACTGCTGGTGCGGCGGTGCGGAGATGGCTCGCTGTCTGCCCCGTTCGCAGCGGGAAGCACACACACACATCCGCACGAGCTTGCGCACTGTTGTCTGCAGGGGCGAGGGGCCGTGTGCCTCTGGGCCCGGTGCGGCCGGCAGGGCGCGCGGGCGCCGCCGCGCGTTGTCGCCGTGGACTCAAAGAGCACTCGCCGTGGACTCAAAGGGCACCCAAGTGCACCCGCGTCGCATTCTTCCGGTTAGCGCGCACACGCACACACATATGTATAAGTGTGTATATATATATATATATATAGAGTGTGTTTGGCGTCGCGGCCCTGCGCGCGGCGACAGGACGGAGAAAGTCATAGAGCAGCAAGCGCGCGCGTCGAGGAGCGCCCAGGCCCTCAGAGACCGCTCAGGGTCCCGCAGCAGCCGACCGCCATAAGCCAGCTGGGCGTGGACGACAGGGGGAGCGGTGGAATGACGAGGCTACGGTGCGTCGGAGGTACCGCCACACACACACACACACACACGCGCGCGCGAACACCTAGATTGTCCAGATCAACGCAGACATGCGACAGGGCGCCAGGGTTCGATTAGTATGTTGAGCCATGCAGTCATCTCCAGACCTTCTGAGGTCGCCGGGCGTCATATTCTTCTGACGTCAGAGGTCCAGAGCTCGGGAGGAGGAGGAGGAGGAGGAGGAGGAGAAGGAGGAGGAGGAGGAAGAGGAGGACGCGGTGGTGGAGTCTTATCTGATGTGAAGGTGGAAGGGAAGGGGAGGGGGGCGCAGGAGTGGGAGGAGGAGGAGGAGGAGGAGCAGGTGGAGGAGGAGGAGGAGGAGATCGACCATATCCTTACACCTTACACGTAGCAAACAAGCATTACGCGCAGTGCTTCAAACCGGATCCAAACAGTCCTCTCGAGGCTATGGTCTCCAAAAGCCCACCAAGGAGGAGGGCGAAGAGGAGGGCGTTGGGCGGGACATGGGGAGCGGGTGAGGGGAGAGGTGCAGGAGGAGGAGGAGAACCTGAGCAAGCTGGGCACACTCCACTGATGCTGCGACGAGAACTCCTGTCGAGCGTCCCCTCAAACGCACGGGGCACGTCCTTTCAGTATCGCGAGCGATCACCGGAATTGAGTTGGCCCCGTGGGCTTCCCACGGGATCCGAGCTTGGGACGGCCTGAGCGGTGATTATTCGATACCCCTTCCCCTGTCTGGGGCCAGAGCCCTACAGCGAAGAATGAGAAAGTTGTGTAAACTTAAACTTGAGGAGGTCCGCGCGGATTTCTTAGATCGATGCTGGACTCCACTGGCGGCGCCTCCGGCGCGGCCTCTGGCGCGCGGAGCGTGCCAGGGAGGGAGGCTCAGATGCGATCCAAGAGATTTGCGCGGACCTCCGACAGTCTATGTTTATTTTCGTGCATAATTGTACATAGATAGATATATGTATGTTTAGATGTGTAGATCTCTTTGTCCCTTATGAGGAGCCAGGACCCCACTGTTCAGCCTCTGGAAGGCACCCTTGGAAGATTGGAACGGGGAGGGACATCTATTGTTTTGCTTCTTCAAGATTCAGCTCTGTTGTCGCACTGGAAAAGCTGAGCAGCGTCATTCGTCAAACCAGTCTCAAGAAGGGAAGTCGTATTGGTCGCGAGTTGACGACAACGCAATGGCTTAACTCAAAAGAAAAAGCCTTGGTGCCACAACGAGAGTGCGATAGTGCGAGTAGCCGCCCACCATGCGCGAGAAGGTTCAGCATAACATTTTGAAGCGTTGGGTAACAAGCTGTGAGCAGGTATTTCAGCCAGACCGACCCGAATGTGACAATTCACCACCATGCGGCGTTGAAAGTTGGATTATCGGGATTTTGTTTTTGAGGAATCCTCTGGCGAGAGCGCGATTCGAAATCCAGTCGCCTTCCACGTGCTTGATGTGTTTCTGTCTTATAAACCTCCTGGGAAAATGTACTCGGAGGTCGCGCACAAGAAGCGTTGCGTGTTTCCCATTACGCCCAAGGACCCAAGTACAACGTTGCAGTGACCAGTCTGCAAGATCGGTGACTTCAAAGGGTTGATGATAAGACGCAAGCAGTGCTTAGAAGGCAATCGGTGGTGGGAGTCAGAGAGCGGAGGCCTGCGGGCTGTGGCTAACGCTTGCTCTGGCATCTGCCACGATGAGATGCGGAAGTCGAGATCGATGGCTACGACGGGGTGGTGACTCGACGCAGCAGGATTGAGTAGAGGGGAGGTGGAGGAGGAGGAGGAGGAGGAGGAGGAGGAGGAGGAGGAGGAGGAGGAGGAGGAGGAGGGAGGAGGAGGAGGAGGAGGAGGAGGAGGAGGAGGAGGAGGAGGAGGAGGAGGAGGAGGAGGAGGAGGAGGAGGAGGAGGAGGAGGAGGAGGAGGGAGGAGGAGGAGGAGGAGGAGGAGGAGGAGGAGAGGAGGAGGAGGAGGAGGGAGGAGGAGGAGGAGGGGGAGGAGGAGGAGGAGGAGAGGAGGAGGAGGAGGAGGAGGAGGAGGGAGGAGGAGGAGAGGAGGAGGAGGAGGAGGAGGAGGAGGAGGAGGAGGAGGAGGAGGAGGAGGAGGAGGAGGAGGAGGAGGAGGAGGAGGAGGAGGAGGAGGAGAGGCGGAGGAGGCGGGAGGCGGAGGAGGAGGAGGGAGGAGGAGGAGGAGGAGGAGGAGGAGGAGGAGGAGGAGGAGGAGGAGGAGGAGGAGGAGGAGGAGGAGGAGGAGGAGGGAGGAGGAGGAGGAGGAGGGGGGAGGAGGAGGAGGAGGAGGAGGAGAGGAAGGAAGAGGAACAAGAAGAGAGAAGAAGAAGAAGAAGAAGAGGAGGAGGAAGGAGAGGAGGAGGAGGAGGAGGAGGAGAGGAGGAGGGAGGAGGAGGAGGAGGAGGAGGAGGAGGAGGAGGAGGAGGAGGAGGAGAGGAGGAGCAGGAGGAGAGGAGAGCAGGAGGAGGAGGAGGAGGAGGAGGAGGAGGAGGAGGAGGAGGAGGAGGAGGAGGAGGAGGAGGAGGAGGAGGAGGATGAGGAGGGAGGAGGGAGGAGGAGGAGGAGGAGGAGGAGCGAGGAGCGGGGAGCGAGGAGCGGGAAGTGAGGAGCGAGGAGGAGGAGGACGAGGAGGACGAGGAGCAGGAGGAGGAGGACGAGGAGGAGAGCCAGGGCGTGCGGAGGGCCACACGAGACAGCCGCGCGAGAAGGAGCTTCGGACGTCCGCCGGCGCCGGACCCCCCCCCTCCCCCAGAGCGCACATGGCGGGGCTCGGCGCCAGAGGACCCGCAGCGGAGGGCGGGAGGGACGAGTTTGTTGTTTTGCTCTGTTGGCCGCTGCTCCTCCTCCTCCTCATCCTCCTCCTCCTCCTCCTCCACCACCTCCTCCTCCTCCTCCTCCTTCTCCTCCTCCTCCTCCTCCTCCTTCTCCTTTTCCTCCTCCTCCTCCTCCTCCTCCTCCTTTTCCGTTTCCTCCACCTCCTTTTTTTCCTCACCTTCTTTCTCCTCCTCCTCCTCCTCCTCCTCCTCCTCCTCCTCCTCCTGCGCGGAGCGTTCCAGCGGTGTGCCGCGTGGAGCGGTCGCCCCTCCTGCGCGAGCCTGACGCCGAGGCTGCAGCGTGGTCAACGCCTACACGGGCCACGGCGTCGGCAAGCTGTTCCACGGGCCGCCCAACATACCGCACTACAAGAAGAACAAGGCCCCCTGCCTCGAAGAACAAACGCCATGAGCATAAACTGTTGGCGCTCCGCGCGGATTTCTTGGATCCGCGCTGGGCCCCCCCCCGGCGGCGCCTCCGGCGCCGCCCCTGGCGCGCTCCGTGCGCCAGGGAGGTGGTCAGCTTACGGTCAGCTTACGACGGTCGGCTTTCGACGGGGTGCGCTCCGTTCGACGGTGGTTGACCAGCCTGGAACATATCCCTATCCCTATGCTGGGCATCTCCTCATCACGATGCCAATCTTCGGGATTCCCTTATTTTTTGAGGGCGAATCCCTAAGATTGTCATCGCATCTCGGCGTGTCAATCTTAGGAATAGGGATACGTTCGAGGCTGCTAAGTGGTGGTCAGCTTGCGACGGGGCGGCTCCGCCCGTATGTTCAGCTCATGGTGGCGTGGGCTCGGCACTGCCTGGCTCGGTTTGGGGGTGTCGATCTTGCCGGGCTTAGATTTCGCGCAGCGTTAGCCTGGGCTTGGGCCCTCTCCTGACGTCTTCAGCCCGATCTTTGGTCCCAGCCTTCGGCGCAGCCTACAGCCCAGCTAGGAGCTGGGTCTGTTCTCGCTGTCGCGTGAGGCGTGGACAACTGGAGCTGTCGTAGTGAGTTGGTATTCGCTTGCTTTATGTTCTCCGTTACCTTTTCCTGCCTGTTGAGAGGTTGCCGTCCGTTCGTCGTCCTCCTCGGCGCACTTATGATGAAGCAGATATGCTTTCCAGGGCTTGCGAGTTGGAAGGTCGCATGGCGGGGGCAAACACAATTCAGAGTGATGGTAATAGTTGGTGGTTGCCTTTGCGTGTCTTCTGATGTCTGGCCGTCTGGCCATGCAGGCCGTTCCATCGAAGGCTCCGTATTCCAGGAGTGGAGGCTGGCGGAGGCTCGACGAATGCCAGCATACGCAGTACGAGGGTAGTTCAGCCGGCGGACGCAGAAGTAAGCATGGGACACCTCAAGAGAGGTCAACGACCGTTCATCCATCAGGAGGGCAAACAAAAACACACAGACACAATTCATTCTCCTCGATCCCTCAGAACATATGGGACAACACGGGAAGTGGGGGGGGGGCCCCAATCCAGAACATAGGGGAACGTATGGGGCATCCCGTTATCTGTGTGTATTTTTATTTGTCCTCCCGGCCTCGCCGTGAGGCTGCGCTTATTCCCTTCCCCCCCTCTTTGCTAATTCAAGCTTCGCGCGGCCCGCTTAGCTTCGACCGGAAGAGGTGCGCTCTCGACCCGCGAATCAAAAAAGTGTATCTATATGTGTGTGTCCCAGGGCCCCTCCTTGAACGCAGGGCACCTGGCGTCGGCAGCTCCGTTGTGTCGACCACGTGCTGCCCCGCCCGACCCCGCCGCGGCTCTTGGTACCCCCGGGGCCTGCTCTTTTTTGTCTGGCGGGGCCGCGGCCGGTGCTCGCCGCCCCTCGCGCCGCGTGGGCGCGCGCCCTGCCCGAGCGAGCGGTGAGCCGTTCCCCCGAGCGCACTGCTGCTACATTAACCTCAACAGTTGCTGGCACGTCATTTCGATTTCGGCGCGCCCCTCAATGTCGACACGCCGCCCCTTCAATGTCGGGGCGAGGGCAAAGATAGTCTGACCGAAGTTGACTAGATCTTCCGACAAGCAGTTTAACCACGTCAGACATTTTTGAGGTTAATGTTGTTGAGGGTTGTAGCATGGTGGACGTCGGTTCATGGAGAGGAAGCATGCTGCCAAAGAGATTTCCAGATGTCTAAAAAAGTGTTTCAAACATGTCTTCAACATGCAAAGGCATGTTTGACACGTGTCTAGAGCAGGTGTTTTACACGTATTAAACACATCCTTGATTCAGTGATAGGATTGTCAGAGTGTCCATTGTCATGGCATACGCAGAACTAACAAGAACGTTTGCCAGCGTGGACCCATCGAAGTAAGCCTTTGCACCGTAGATGTGTGAGCCATGTTGCGCAAGGTGGGTGGAGTTCACGACGTGGCGCAAGACTGAACGGACATGGGCCCGCGCCCTTGCGGGGAGGCCGTGCCCACGAAAACGTAGGCCCAGGATGCGCTCGCGGCTGCATGATGATGGCCGATGTGTTCGCTTTTCCTTCCTCGTCACCTAAGTGCCCATCTCTCCTGCTCCCAGGCGTTCAGTCATGCATGGGTGAACACCTGACTGAAAACTGAGACCAGGAGAGAGGGGCCAAGATCATGGCCCCGATTGTCAAAAGCAGCCGTCCAGCCCTCGCGCACAAGACCGTCGGAGGCCGCCGGGGTCCGCGAGAGACCGCCCAAGATGCGGCGGGAGACCGCCGGAGACTGCCAGGGGCGGGTGTGCAGCGGCGGGTCCGTGGCCGGTCGCGCACAGGATAGCCCCACCCCCTGTCCACCCTGCCTTTCTGCCTTTCACGCCGTGGCGGCGTCTCGCCGCACTATGGCGCGGAGGGCTGCGGCACGGGCCGCGCGGGCCGAGCGCAGTGCTACAACGGCGGCCCTGGGGATCCTCTAGGGGTCCACATGCGAACCCTACCCCTACCCCCCACGATTTCTGGGGGGGAGGGGGGGGTAGGGTTCGCATGTGGCCCCCTATCCTCGGCCCCTGGACGAGAGAGGACGATACCTTGCGCCTTGCGCCGTCGAGGCGATGGGGATCATGAAGCCCGGGCACGTGTTCACCATCGAGCCCATGATCAACCTGGGCCCCGACGGGGGCGACAGGCTCTCGGCCCCCCTTCCTCGGGGAGGATTCGGCACCTCAGGAGCAGCGGGGCCAGGAGCAGGAACGGAAGGAGGTGGAAGAGGAGGAGGAGGACCAGTGGACCAGTGCAAACCCGAGACTCATCAACGGTAAGAGAATAAACCCTCCCTCCAGATTCCCTTTCCATTGATCCCTACTGCAATTCGTGCTCACGGAGGGAAGTGCCCTGTTTGAAGACGATCGTCTGAAAACCTCAACTGCGGTGGAACACCATCCCTGGGGCTTCAACGCCGCGAATCACCGTTACTGTTGCTCCAGACGGTCCAGAATCGCGCCTGAACAATATTCCAGAGTTTTTGTCACCGCGAATCGACGGAACTGTTCTTGCGTCCTGGCGGTCCGACAACGCGCCCAAACACCAACTCTGGGACGGTAACCGTGGGAGTCTTTGACACGGCTGCGAACTCGTGAAACGAATGTGCACGGCTCTAGGGCGAGAGACACATGTTGAAAAGGAGCCAGCCTCTATCCGTGAAGCTCTTGCGTGTTTTTGAGACGAATGTGCGCGGCGCTGCGGCGAGAGCCACATTTTGAAAGCGGACCGCCCTCAATCCGTGAAGGCTTGGGGAATGTGTAAAGCGAATGCGCGCGGCGCTTAGGCGAGAGCAACATTTCGAAAACGGCCCGCCCTCCATCCGTGAAATGTTTGCCAATTTCAAGCTGCAGAATCATAAATGGAGAGGAAGTATCAGGCGAAACGCCCAACCAACCCTTTCGACTGGCCCCAGGATGCGGCAGGCAGGCATTATCATTACTTATCAGGAAAAGGATCGGAGAAGGAGAAGCTCAAGAAGGAGGTTCGAGGTTCGAAGATCTGTTTGTTTTGCCTTTCTGGGCTCCCTGGAAGCCTCCAGGTGCTTATGAGAACCTCCCGAGACTCCCTGGGGCCTCCTGGAATTAGCAGGGGCCAGCTCCAGCTTATCCTCTCTGACCCACCGGGTTCTGCTCGAGGACTTCCCGCCGCCGCTCCAGAGATGGGGCCGCGCACGCTGGAGCAGAACAGCGAGTGTGCAGAGGAGCGCACGACCAGTCGCTGAGCCCCTGGGTGCGCTGGCGCATGCTGGCGCCGACTTCTCGGCGGGGGGGCGTCGCTCCGTCCTACGCCAGCCAGGCTGGCCTCGTTCTGCCTCCGCCGGCCCCCGACGAGAGCCGTGGGCTGGAAACATATGATTCACGTGCACGGCCTTGCGGGCCAGGCCGCTTGGCCGCGACCCCGGGCACGGGGCGTTGTCTCGCGGATGCCCCGGGCGGAGCTCATCCATTCACGCCCCAGGATCCGGACTGCGAGGCCGCTGACGTGGATATGCTTGCCGCTCGCGCCGAGGGCGAGAGGTCAGTCCCCCTTGACCCCCCGAAGACGAGGCCTTCCCCGGAGCGCGCTGCGAGCACGTGCGGCCCTCTCCCTGCATCGCCTCGCGGCCGCTGCTCGCGCGGGAGGCTGTGGCCGGACAAGTGGACGGCCGTCACCTGCAACGGCAAGCCCTCGGCGCAGTTCGAGCACACGTTCCTGGTCACGGAGACCGGCTTCGAGGCCCGCGGGCGGCCACCCGCCCAGAGCTCTGGCTTGGCATAGCTCGGACGTGTGCACTTTTCCTCCGGCGAGGACCATCGAGGAGCATCCTTGATCCTTTGGCGAGAAGCCACGCACGAAACCGACAAAAAAGCATTGGGAATGGACGTCCGAGCGATGGCCAGCTGGGCGCTGCAGCGTTCGACGCACCAGGCGCGTTCGTCTGGCTCCTGGCCGAGGCCCTTCGCTGGTCGATCCCTTCCGAAGAGTGTTGCAGGAGGGAGGGCTCTGGCCCGGATTTTTCGCGGCGCCCTTTCGCCCAGCCCTCCCGCGTCGAGTTCTCATTTTGACTAGATCACTGCGGCCGCACAGCTTCCTCCTCCTACTCCTCCTCCTCCTCCGCCTCCTCCGCCTCCTGCCTCCTCCTCCTCCTCCTCCTCCGCCTCCTGCCTCCTCACGTGCGGCTCCCTGGGAGGCTGCGGACTGCGCAACTGCCACGTTCGTGAGGTCCTCGGAAGCACGGCGGAGTAGGGGAGGACCCGACACCTTGTAGCTCCCTGGGTGGCTGCGAACTGCGCAACCGTCGCCAGTTTCGTGGGCTCCCAGGAGGCACGGCGGAGTAGGGGAGGACCCGACACCTTGTAGCTCCCTGGGTGGCTGCGAACTGCGCAACCGTCGCCAGTTTCGTGGGCTCCCGGGAGGCACGGCGGAGTAGTGGAGTACCCGACACCTTCCTTGCAGCTCCCTGGGTGGCTGCGAAGTGTGTAATTGTCGCCACTTTCGTGGGCTCCTGGGAGGCACGACGGAGTACTGGAGTACAGAAGACCTCGCTGCTCCCTGTGTGGCTGCGAACTGCTCAATAATCGCCGCTTTCGTGGGCTTCTGGGAGGCACGGCGGGTAGGGGAGTACCCGAAACCTCGCTGTTCCGTATGTAGTTGCGAACTCCGAAAGTGTTGCTATTTTCGTGAGCTCTTGGAAGGCACGGCGAAGTAGGAAGTTACCCGACTCCTCGCAGCTTGCTGGGTGGTTGCGAACAGGGCAACTGTCGCCACTTTCGTGGGCTCCTGGAAGGCACGACGGAGTACTGGAGTACAGGGGACCTTGTAGCTCCCTGGGTGGCTACGCACTTGTCGCCACTTTCGTGGGCTCTTGGGAGGCACGGCGGAGTCGGGGGCCATGCGCACCCAGACGAAACCTCGCAGCCTTCTGGGTGGTTGCGAACAGGGCAACTGTCGCCACTTTCGCGAGCTCCTGGGAGGTCCAGCGGCACCAAAGGGCTATTCGCGCCCAGACGAGACCTCGCTGCTCCCTGGGTGGCTGCGAACAGGGCAACTGTCGCCACGTTCGTGGGCTCTTGAAAGGTCCAGCGGGGTCGGGGGCCACGCGGACCCATCTGGGACCTCGCTGCTCGCCCCGATGCTGCGAACTGCGCAATCCTGGGAAATCCAGTGGCGCTGCTCCCTTGGGGGCTGCGAACGGCGCAACTGTCGCCGCTTGCGTGGGCTCCTGGGAGGTCCAGCGGAGTCGGGGGCCACGCGCATCCAGCCGAGACCTCCCAGCTCCTTGGGAGGCTACGAGCTGCGCAACTGTCGCCACTTGCGTGGGCTCCTGGGAGGTCCAGCGGAGTCGGGCGCCACGCGGATCCAGCCGAGAACTCCCAGCTCCTTGAGAGGCTACGCACTGCGCAACTGTCGCCACTTGCGTGGGCTCATGGGAGGCACGGCGGAGATGAGGGCAGACCTGATCGTACATATTTGACGATGTGTGCTTGTGTAGTGAGCTTTCATACAGATATTCGCCTCGCGTGGGGAATGGGCTGGGTACGTCTCGGGCAAGTTTTTCGAGACGTCGGATCTCGCAAACATCCCCGCGTCCAAGGGCATCAAACTCCCTCCGGCCCGTGGGCCGCAGCCCCTGACCCAGATCGAGGGGAAACCAAACTTGCGATGGCCGCTCCTGGCCGCCCTCCCGCTGCGATGGGCACATGCCAAGTCATCGTGCAGCGCAGACAGGAGAGGGAAGGGGGACGCGGGCCAGGCAAAAGTGGGGATAAGTAAGGAAAGGGGGGTGGGTACGAAATCTGGCAGCTGGTCTCGGCCCCGCCGCTGGGCCCGTTCCTCTCAGCTGTGATCTCCTGATAACAGAAAGAGCTCGTTTACAAACTCATGCAAACACAAAAAGCGCTTCAACAGGCATACTAAGAATCAAGAACACGCGCTACAGAAAGCGAAACAAAAAGTAAAGCAAACAGGTTCATACACTGTGTTCTCATGAAAACACTGAAGAGTCGGAGCGGACAAACCGTGCAACAAAAAGTGTTCCCCCAAGAAACGCACAAGTGGGCATAGCTTTGTATTGCGCACTTTGTTTTGGTGTGTTCGTATTTTTTTTTTGTGTGTGGTTTTCTATGTGCGGATTCTGATCCAGGGGATCCCAGTTGTGACGCTCCTCGACAAATGTCGAGAGGCTTTCTGCATCTTCGGGGAAGGCGCAGCTAATTTTTCAAAAGGCCAGGGGAAAAGCCCGCGCCTCCTGAGAAGGCCCCCTCCCCTTCTCGCTTACCCCCCGGGCTCGCCGCCCGACATCTGGCGCCTCGCGGGGCCAGGGGGCGCCAAGGAAACCAGCCGCGTGAGCTGGTTCTCTGCCCTGCCCTCTGCTATCCCGCCCTGTGCCTCCGGAGGGACGACGGGGACAGTGCCCACGAGGGTCCGGCCAGAGTGCCTCTCTGCCCGCCAGCCCGCCAGTGCCCGCCCAGTGTTCGTCGCCATCGCTGCCGTCGACGTCGGCGTCGTCGTGGACGTTGTCGACGCCGTGTAGTCGTGCCCCTGGAGTGGCGACGGGGAGAGACGCGTGCCCCGCCCTCCTTCCGCGGGCGGCTGAGTGGCGGCCACGCAGGACCCCAGCGCAAGCCACGTTTTTCGAAAGTAAGTATTTTTGGACTCAGATTTCAATATACTTTAAGCGCCTTCCTACTTCAATCCTCGAGTGGCTTCACATTTTCCGCCCTCCCAGGGGGGCGGACGTAACCGAATCTATGTTCAGGGCCTTCCTGCTTCATGTTTCTACCGACTTCTTCCGACCGGTGGAGAATGGGGGGTGGCCCCAATGGGGGGTGAAGGGAAGAACCCTAAAGGGGCCCTTTAGAGCCCCTATTGTTGGGGCCACCTGGTGCCCAAAAGGTGCCCCGAAGGGCTCCTTCAGGACCTTTCTTCACCCCTCGTGTGGGTCACCCCCCGCTGTCACCCGCCCGGGTTTTCTTGGCGTCGTTCGGGCGCGTGCATTTGTCTCGGCGGGGACCGTCGAGGAGCCTTTTGGGTCATCCTGCGAGAAGATGCACGCACGATGCCGAAGAGTGCACGGGGAATGGGCGTCCGAGCGACGGCGAGAGATGGGAGTCGCAGTCGCGCGACGAGGGGTTGACAGTGGGGGGTTCAAAAGGTCCCCTGGGGCCCGCAATTTTCAAGGTTAGTTTGGGACGATGAAAGAAAGTTCTACCGGTTTGTGTATAGCAATGGTGCCGGATTTCAAGTTGACTCCTATTGTTGCGGGTTGCATGTGTATATATATATATATATATATATATATGTATATATATATACACCTGTTATGGCAAATTACAACTCATTCTCTTTGTGGCGGAAAACACATGGATTCCCTTTCGTCCTCATTTAATTTGCCACAAAAGGAATGATGCCACAATCCGCCACAAAACTAATCCTTGTAGTATCCGCCACAAAAGTAATTATTGTGTAAAGGATTGTAATCCGCCACCAAAGGGATCCATGTGTAAGCCACACAAAAATTGAATCATAATCCGCCAGACATGAAATCCATTTGCATTCCGCGAAAAGGGGAATCAATTTGAATTCCGGGATAGACAGAACCTGATAGTAATCCGCCACGAGAGGAATCAAGTTGTAAACCGCATCGAATGGAATTCATGTGTATTCCGCTGCAAAGGGAAGCAATGTGTAATCCGCCACAAAAGGAATCCATGTGTAATCCATTCGTTGGTAGCCCGCCACAGAGAGAATAGAAGTCCGCCGCGAAAGGGATCCCTTCTGTAACCCGACACAAAGGGAAATCCTGGCGCAAGCCGCCACAATAGGATCCCTTCTGCAGTGCAAGACCGCAACAAAAGGAGTGAATGTGTAGCCCGTTCGTAGAAGGAAATAGTTTGGAATATGTAACAGAAGACCCCCCCACAAAACGAATCGTTTTGTGTGAGGCCCCCCCAAAAACAAGTCTTTCATGATCCACCACACCAGGCAATCCTCTGCAAGACCGCCACAAACGGAATCAGTTTGTAACCCATCACAAAAGGAATCACCTTGCAAATTCCCAACCAACAAACCAACACGCAATCACGAGGGAAGCAAAGGAGGGATGATGGAGGAGGAGGAGGACGGAAAAATGGGGAGAATGCCCTTGTGAGAAGTTCCAGACTCTGGAAAACACGGTCGGGGAGTCAAGCGGGAAAAGAAGGGAGGATGGACGTGGGAGAGAAGATGGAGGTAGAGGAGTAGAGGAAGAGGGGAAGGAGGGAATCTGATGTTTGAAGAGGATGCGGAGCGTCTTGGGGACGTGAATCCACAATTCCCAAGGGCTAAGGGTGAGCAGCCAGATGGAAATACGCAGCAGAGCAGTAGTGTGAGTGCCGCGCGCTGTGTTTAGTCCGTGGCAGTATTGTTTCACAGTGCAACGATGGCAGTACAACAAATGATGGTGGCCGTGGTATTAGTAGTCGTAGTAGTAGTAGTAGTAGTAGTAGTAGTAGTAGTAGGAATCGTCGTCGTCGTAGTAGTAGTAGTAGTAGTAGTAGTACTAGTACTAGTACTAGTAAAGGTAGTAGTAGTAGTAGTAGTAGTAGTAGTAGTAGTAGCAGTAGTAGTAGTAGTAGTAGTAGTAGTAGTCGTCGTAGTAGTCGTAGTCGTAGTCGTAGTCGTAGTCGCAGTATTAGCAGCAGTAGTGGTAGTCGTAGCAGTAGTAGTAGTAGTAGTAGTAGTAGTCGTAGTAGTAGTAGTAGTAGTAGTAGTAGTCGTCGTCGTCGTCGTCGTCGTCGTCGTCGTCGTCGTCGTCGTCGTCGTCGTCGTCGTCGTCGTCGTCGTCGTCGTCGTCGTCGTAGTAGTAATAGTAATAGTAATCGTAGCCGTAGTAGTAATAATAGTAGTAGCAGCAGTAGTAGTAGTAGTAGTAGTCGTCGTCGTCGTCGTCGTCGTCGTCGTAGTAGTAGTAGTAGTGGTAGTAGTAGTAGTAGTAGTAGTAGAAGTAGTAGTAGTAGGAGTAGTAGTAGTAGTAGTAGTAGTAGTAGCAGTAGTAGTAGTAAGTAAGTAGTTGGCTTCCCATGTGCGTCACCCAAGCCGAAAGTCAAAATGGCTACAAGTTTTGGGTTTTCCGCTCGCTGTGTGGTTTCCACAGTTGTCCTGCTCGTGTGTGCTCGACGTGCTGTGCTAAGCTCGCCATCTTTGCCGGTTCTTTCGCTTTTGCGGAGCCCTGCGGGGTGACCGACGCTCGGTGCGGCGCGCCGTTGCCAGTATCAGCTATAGGTCGTGTGGGGCCACACCCAGCACCGATCCTGACTGATCAGGTACGTGTGGCAGCGGACTTGGGAGCCGCGGCCGGAGCCCAGAGAACGTAGCCCTCTCTCTGGGTGAAGGTCGGGGGCGCACCTTGTGGGTTTGGCAGTCGTTTGGGAAATGAGCATGACGTCTTCTCTCGTGTTGAAGTTCAAAGAGATGTGCCGCAAGGCTCTGGAGTGGACGCGCACGTTGCAGCTCCAGAGCGGTGATCCGCAGGTCTTCGAAGACACCTCCCTGGCGAGGGATCGCTCGGATCCGACGGACCGTCCTTCCATGCTGATGGCGCCGAGTTCTCAAGATATGAGGCCGTACGCGTATTGGCTTGGGACGGGCATGAGTCGGGCTCAGATTGCGGCCTTGCCCCAAGCGCAACGCGCTGCGAGGACTGTGCTCGGCAAGGAGGATTTCCTGAAGGTGATCGTCCAGGCAGAGCAGTACCTCGACCTCGACAAGCAGCAGGTTGCGGCAGCTCCCACAGATTGGGTCAAGCTCTCAGGGTTACTGCACGGCTCTCGCGAAGGGTTTTCGCGCGATGTCGCTACGGCTCTCGGTGCTAAGACGACTGTGCGGACGAACTTGGGCGTTCAGGTGGAGTCACTGTACAGGAGAGTTACGCAAGAATGGCTGGCTGCCAAGGTTGTGGAGTCGACTGGTGGTAACGATGCAACTGATGCTGCCGGATTGCGCTACTGGCTTGACCAAGCGCTCGGCGGTGGACATGTTCTCAATCAGATCGTTGCCCCCGATTTCATACCCGCTGGCGCAGGCGGCCCGATGGCCCCGCAGGTGGCGGCGCCCGCAGTCGGTCTTACGGCTTCGATCCTCGTCTGGATATTGAACGGGGACCCGATCAATGGCTGGCCCGGCGGTGCACCGCCTCATGCTGCTCTACCACCTGGTCGCCCGCCCGCCGATTCTATGGTTATCCTGTCAGATCCGAACAACGATTTATCGGAGCGAGACATCTGCTTGTTGTCGGCAAGCCTGGCCGCGTCGCGGCCCCTGGCCGGTCGTTCGGCCCAGGGTGCTAACGCGTTGCCACAGGCCCGCAATCTCCAAACTTGCGACAACTTGCGTCCCGTCGTGCCGTACCTCGTCATAGTGTACAGGCGCATTCCGAACAACCTCGTCCCCTTGCAGCAGTGCCCGGAGGCACATGAGTGGATCCGCCTTATGAGCGTGCTCCTACCAAAGGTTGGCCAAACCGATCAGGCCGTCCGTGGCATACTGCAGGCATTGGGTGACTCCATTGGTTTCAAGCCTGATGCACCGTTGCGTGAGAACGTGGCTGGCGGCGGCATGGCTGTGCCTGCCCTTGTGGCAGCGCCGGCCGCGCGCTTTGCTGAAACGAATTGCACGGCGGCTGGCCACTGGGAGTCTCGCGGCTGGGTCAACATTGACATGACGGCATTCGTCTGGGGTCCCATCTTGTGCTGGGATTGCGGGGAGATCGACGACGATGTGCTCGCTATGTTCCGCCTAGACCACGCGCGACTCTTCTCTTTCCTGGCCGCCGACCTGTATGACGTCGCGTTCAAATTCCAGGTTGGTTCGCGATGGTCGATCACCAGCGGCTCAATCGGCGGGGCACCACTGGTCGTCGATCGTCGCTGGAACGTGCTCGCTAACTTCAGGGCGGCCACTGACCGGACCTCCTGTGCCGAGGGCACGGTGTACGGTGAGCTGCTGGGGATGTATGCCACCAATACTACTAAGCTTCACCTCGCGCTCCTGCTTGATCTGGACGTCCTCCAGCAGCACATGGTAGCTTGGGAATTTCCGAGTAGCCAGGACGATCCTCATTGTAGCTGGGCCTGCGCGGGTGGTCTCAATTCTCCGGCGGTCTGAACGGCGCCATGGATGTCAAGGCGCAAGCCGCTGGAGCTCGACTACTACGCCCTGCCGGATGACGTCACGGTGGAGAATGCGTGTACAAAGGCCAACGCCGTGGTCGACCGCCCGTTACACCTGGGCGATACCCACGCGTCCAGCAGTGACACCCAGTACGAGTACAGGTTGTACGAAGGTGGCCCAGATCCTTCGCTTGTCGAGAAGGTCTTCGCGTTCTTCGCTCTGATGATGGGCTCGCGCGCAGCCGTTGCGCTGGGGCAACGGATCATGCTGCTGCGTGCCGCGGCTTTCAGCCTGATCGGCGGCGATGTCGACTACGGCTTCGATGTCGTGTACGAGATGGTCCCGGACGACAACGGCTTTGCCAAGCCATCGTCCCTGCCTGTCACTTCGGGCGTTGGTGTCGACGGCCTTCACTACAGTGCGCCGACGATGACGCCCTCCTATGGCGACTGGCTCTTGCAGATTGGCTCAGTCGCGCGCAGGTCGCCTGGGGACTGAACGACCCTGAATGGGCGGGCTACAGTAAGAAGGCGCGGAACAAAGCCAAGAGGGAGCGCCTGGAGATGGCGCGCAGGGAATTGGCGCTCTACGAGCGCAGCCACAACCTGAAGGAGGGCAGCCTCTCGGGCGGCGGGGGTGGCACAGGGGCCGCCCTGCGTGCCACCCCCGTTCGCAACGCCAGCGCCCCGCCGGCGAGCGGAGCCCGCGGCAGCCAGGACCCGCCGCCACCGCCAGCTGGAGTCCCGCCAGAGGCCGCGGCCATCATGGGCCCCCCGCCGCCGCCGCCGACGGCGCCCCCCGATGCGCCGCCGCCGCCGACGCACCCGCCACCGCAGACGGACTTGCTCCCGCAGCAGGCCCCAAGCGCTTCAGCCCTGCACGTGGCCCATGGTGAAGACCTTGAGCGCCAGATCTTTGGGCCCTCAGGGCAGGCGGGGGGCAGTGGCGACCTCGGCGGGGAGGCGCGGGCGCTGCCGTCGCAGGTCTTTGCTGCCATCGCGCCGGGAGCAGGCCAGCAGGCCTGAAGGATAATGCCCAGCAGGTTCCAGGGCCTCGGCAGGGCGCGTGAGTCCATGCCAAGTTGTCTACTTGCCACTCTCTGTAGTGCGGCGGGCCCACAGCGGTACCCCCCTCGCGTGGCGGCACCTGTAGCCTTTGCCTAGGCTCGGCGCATGACAACCTGTGCGCCCAGCCACCTTGGCTCGCCAACTGGCTTGCCATCTCGGCCTCCTTACGCCCACTTGCGCTCGTTGGCCTCGCTGGCGGTGCTGGGGCAGCCCCGTGTACTGCAGCGTCGCCGTCAGGCGCCTGGCCATTTTGGCCTGCCATCTTGGCCTCCTCTCGCGCCTTCTTGCACGTGTAGGCCTGGGTGGCGGTACTGGGGTCGCCCCGTGCGCTGCTACGCCGCCGCCTGCGCCTTACTTTTTGCTGTAGGGACCAGCTGCCCTCGGCCAGGCGCCTGCTGCTGCATGCACGTCAGACCCGCCCTTGGCTTGCTATCCAGGCCTTGCCTCGCGCCTTCTCGCGCTAGTCGGCCTGGGTGGCGGTGCTGGGGTCGTCCCGTGTGCTGCTGTGCCGTTGCTGGCGCTTCACTCTGGGCCGTTGGTCCAACTGCCCACCGTGCGAGCGCCTGACGACGCAAGCGTGTCAGACCCGCCCTTTCACCCAGAAGAGGTGCGCGCTACATGCTGGCAATGAGGCAGCCACAAGGACGCTCTTCCCTAGGTGGTTGAGCCGTGGTGATGTGGTGCACGAGACCGCCAGTAGTAGTAGTAGTAGTCTTAGTACTAGTAGTAGTAGTAGTAGTAGTAGTAGTAGTAGTAGTAGTAGTAGTAGTAGTAGTAGTAGTAGTAGTAGTAGTAGTAGTAGTAGTAGTAGTAGTAGTAGTAGTAGTAGTAGTAGTAGTAGTAGTAGTAGTAGTAGTAGTAGTAGTAGTAGTAGTAGTAGTAGTAGTAGTAGTAGTAGTAGTAGTAGTAGTAGTAGTAGTAGTAGTAGTAGTAGTAGTAGTAGTAGTAGTTGTAGTAGTAGTAGTAGTAGTAGTAGTAGTAGTAGTAGTAGTAGTAGTAGTAGTAGTAGTAGTAGTAGTAGTAGTAGTAGTAGTAGTAGTAGTAGTAGTAGTAGTAGTAGGTAGTAGTAGTAGTAGTAGTAGTAGTAGTAGTAGTAATAGTAGAAGGAGTAGGAGTAGTAGTAGTCGTCGTGGGAGTAGTGGTAGCGGTAGCAGTATCAGTAACTTTAGCAGTAACAGTAGCAGTAGTAGTGCTAGTAGTAGTCGTAGCCGCCGTAGCAGTAGCAGTAACAGTAGCAGTAGCAGTAGAAGTAGTAGTAGTAGTAGTGGCCGCAGTCGCGCTAGTAATACGGGTGGTAGTGGTGGGAGTCGTAGCCGCAGCAGTAGTACCAATCATGTGTGCGATGGTACACTCAATAGAGACCAGTGCAAGCTGCACAGGAGTAGCAGGAGCAATTCCGTTGCCCAGAATGCGTGGCACCAGTGGGTTCTCAATGCGCAAGGTGATGATGATGATGAGCAGCATTGTGATTGTGATATGACGATGATTCCGACGATCTTGATGAGGATGGAAAGAATGGTGATGATGCTTGTGACGGGGATGGCGACGGTGATGGTGATCATCATGATGGGGACGATGATGGTGTGGATTGCGGTGGCAGTGGCGCAAGTGCCTGCGAGGATGGCCGCGAGGGGTAGGAACATGACGCCGAGTTCCCCCCCCAAAAAAAAACGAAACTGAGATGGGAGGGGTGGATTCTGAACAAGACGGGGGGGAGGTGGCAAAAGTGATGATGGTGGCGGCAATGCTGACTATTCTGATATATGTGGCGGTGGTTACGATGATGACCACGATGACAAGGAACCGACGAACATATGAGGAGCTCTGGGGAGGATGGTGGGATCAAGTGGGCGGCATGGAGATGATCATGCTGATGATGATGATGATGATGATGAGAAGGAGGAGGAGGAGAGGAAGCGACGAACGATGACGATGGGATGGCGATGGCAGTGCTGATAGTGGGTGCTTGTGATTGTTGTGGGTACTGGTGGTCGGCATGATGGGACTGATGATCAGGATGATGATGAGGAGGCAAGGTAAGCATGATTAGTTCTGAGGAGGAGGAGCGAGGGAGGAGGCGGAAAGGCCCACAAAGGGGATCAATGTGCAATCCGCCACCGAAGGAAACCTTTTGTAATCCGCTTCGAAAGGATATAACCAGCCTTGAAAGCTTATTAGGCGACGAGCGTGGCGCGGGAACTGTAGTCAGGGAGTCTCCTTGACCGCTCGCAAAGCGAAAAAGAACAGCACCACCATCATCATCATCATCATCATCATCATCATCATCATCATCAGTATCTGTGCGCGCACAGTTCGTCCATGCGAATCATCACCTCTGAACACATCGACAGCATGGATAACCAGAATTGGTGCGGCGAGCACGACGGAACTGCTGGTTCCAGGGGACTTGTTTGAGCCTCCACCGGGGGGGGGGGGCGCGAGGGCGGCAGAGAAGGGGCCCGGGGCCCCTAAAATAAAAGGGGCCCTCTTGAGGGTCCAAAAAAGGGAGCCCTCCGGGCCCGAGAGGTGCACCTTTTCTTCCCCCGAGATCTCTCGCCCCCCCCCCCCATCCAGCGACGCCCAGTCGGTCGATGAGCTTCTGGACCTTCGTGTGTTCGCTCAATGCGTGTGTGTGTGTGTGTGTGTGTGTGTGTGTGTGTGTGTGTGTGTGTGTGTGTGTGTGTGTGTGTGTGTGTGTGTGTGTGTGTGTGTGTGTGTGTGTGTGTGTGGTGTGAGTGTGTGTGTGTGAGTGTGTGTGTGCGTCTTCCTTCGCCCAGTTCCGGCGACAGGACGTGGCCGGCGTGGGCCCTCGTTGCACCGACCGTATCGCATCGAAGGGCTCCGGCTGACAACACACGCGCTGGCGCCAACACGCGCTCTGAGGACTATCGGCACGTGAGTGGAGCCGGTGCGAGTTGGGTCCCTGATCGTCTCGACTAGACGTAAGAGTGACCTTTCGCCAGAGTGACCTTTGGGTGCGGGGACAGATGGGTCCCCAGATGGTTGAAAACGAAGCAGGAGCAGCGGCTTGCGCGCTTCAGTGTGGTCCCCCCGCGGCCCCCAAAAAGCCGCGCACCAAAGGTCACTCTTACCTAGGGTCACTCTTGCGTGCAGCCGATCGTCGGTGCTCAAGAGACGGGGGTCAATCCAAACGGGGCTCAGTCAGAGCGCCGGATCTTGCAGGAGTCTGCAGGGCCAGGGGTGCACTGACCCGGGCTTGGGTGCAGGATCGTGCAGGATCCTGGCAAGATCCTTCAAGGCCTGACTGACCCAGGGTCAGTAGATCCCCGAGATTGCACCGTGTCGCCGCTGCCTCGGCGTTGCGGCGCGTTTCTGGAAGCCCGGTTCCCTCCAACCCAGTGGACGCAAGTGCATGGTCGATGCCGCGGTGGTGCTCCGCGATCTCGGACCCAGCCCCCATCGAGTCATGAAAAAATCGCGATGGGATTTGTTTCGCTATGTTTGGCCTTCGGAGGCCCTTCTGGGACCTGGGACCGTCAAAAAACGGCTCGGGATGAAAAAAAGGTCCTGGGGGATGGGTCGAGACGTTTCGTGTCGACGTTGTGAAAAAATCATGACGTCGGGGGTCTGGGGAGTGAGGGGGCCGAACGGACTTGCACCATCCCCCGGTGCGTGGCCGAAGTGTGACTCGGCGGCGCGGATTTTGCTTGTTGCGTGGCGCTGCGCTGTTGTCGCCGCCATCGCCCGCGACCCGCCCGCGGCCCGTCCGCGCCCCCTCTATCTTGTCCGCAACTGCGGGGGGCTGGGTATTTTCTCGGGTCCAGCGGGGCAGGCCTCCAGGCTCCAGGCCGGGAGGGCAACGTGAGGCCGGTCCGCGGGAAGGGGACCTGACTGGCAGTGGCGGAGCCAGGGGAGCGGAGTGGGGGAAGCTTCGCCTCCTCATCATCGCAGGTGCCCAGTACGAGTGACCAAGACGTTGGCACAGCACCACACGCACACGCGAGCGTCACACGCGCGCGGTGCGCGCTGACCCCACCAGGCCATCAGCGGATTATCTGACGAGTTGCGCCCGCGGTGGAGCACACGCAGCCGTACAACATGCACTCGCTTACGGGGTGCGCAAACCGTCCTTGGCTCGCAGTTTCAGACCAGCTATTCGTCTCGCCCGCGGCGACCCGTCCCGTATCAACGGGGTGAGCGCGAAAGGATCGGGAGGGGACGGCCGGGGCCGAGTTGGGGAGGGCCGCGCGAGTCCAGCACCGCTCTGTCGCATGATCTCTTGCGTTGCGTTTTCGTGCACCAAGGGTTCGGCACAGCTTCCTCCGCGGCCACTGCATGCGAGCGGCACTGGAAGAATTATTACAGGACAGCTTACAGTCAATCCGCATGGTAAGGATGGGCAACCTTCTCAAGGGCACCCTGGCATCCTTGCCCCTTCGGCCCATCCTTGGCCACTTTCGCCGGCCAACCTCGCCCGATAAACGTTCACATGGGCATCCACGGCCCTTGCAACCCTTCCGTGCATCATTATGGTACGGGCTGACTGTACCCGAGCCGGCGGCTCGGATGGGGGGCGGGCTGGAGAGCTCGATGATTCTCAGGACGTGTGTCAGCCCAATGTGTGTTCGGCCAGCTCGGCCCGTGTCGGCCAGTGTTACGCCGCCTGCGTCGCGTAGAGGGGCTTCCATGGACCAGCACACGCTGGCGCATGGCACATACAGTGGACGGCCATGCCAAGAAACACCCTGCTTGCCTCCAGGGTGCCCCGTTTTCCTTGGGCTTCGATAGTTTTGCTATGGAAGCGCTGCGTTCCCACACCAAAAAGCAGTGGACGTCCCGAGGGGTCCAGGGTTGGGGTTCTTGTGGAAGGTTCCTTGCGGCCGAGCTCTTACTCTACGGGGCCGACTCCTTGGAAAGAAGTTCCGTTGCTTGCCGATGGAGTGTTTGTGCGCCGCCCCCTTCGCTGCGAGCGTTCAGTCCGGCACGTCCCTCTACAAGAGGAGTATAAGGGAATAGTAGAAAATAGTATGTGGGCGTTTTTTGTTGTGTGTGTTGTTGTTCGAGTGTTTCGGATTAGTGTTGGACTCTCTTTATGTTTCTTCTAAAATCCGCCCGTAGAAGGACATACCCGACTTACCCTAGCGTTTCCAGGTTGTGACATTCGGCATCTCACCCTTCGCCAGGCCTTGACTCCAAAGGCGGCCCAGGGCATCGAGAAGCATGTGCGCGTCGTTTTGCCATGCATGTACTCGCGTCGTGGCCCGAGGGCGGGAGGGATTGTGACGAGGCGGAAGGGAAGGCCAGGCCAGACCAGACCTCGAGGTCCCAGCAGGCTCCGCGGATGCAGCCGACCCCCCCGCGGCCCGACGCCGCCTCTCTCCGCTGGGGTTCCCGCCACCGAGGTCTTGACGGCGCGCAAGGGGGCCCCGACTGACGCGATGCCCCCGTATGATCCCAACCAGTTCCAGAGGTGACGGCTACGGCTCGGACTCCCACCAAAATGCCTCTCCGATCCTTTTTGTTCAGCCCCACATTTTCATGTGTTGCTGGCGGCCTGGATCATCACGATGGCATCGGCCATCATGGTGGCGTAGGTCCTGACTCCACTTGATGAGAACGACGAAGTATGGATCCTTCTGTCTGTCTCTGTATCTCTCCTTGTCTCTCTCTCTCTCTCTTTCTAACTCTCGATATCCCTGATGCCTTTGCCTGATTTGCTCATCTCTCTCTCTCTCATTGTGTGCGCTCCGTTGTATGTGCGTGCGTATCTGTATGTGTATATACACATATACAACTATGTACCCGTGCTCGAACTTACACGTCTGTCCTTCTCTATGTTCCAGAGGCTTACGCCGTTTCGCCGACCCCCAGAACAGGGATGAAGTCCAACGTGTGAGGCCTTTTTGGCCCTCAAGGAGTTCCTCTAGGGGGCCTGCTTTGCGCCTCTTGGGGGCCTCGTCAGGCCTCTTGGGAGTTTCTTGAGCGCCTGCTGGCGGTCTCGAGGGTCCTCTTGGGGCGGAGGGCTCGGAATGTCAGTTCGACATACCTCTCTTGGGGCCCTGTTCGGCTCTCTGGGTCCATATTTGGCGCCTCTTGGGTCGTCTTGGGGCCCTCTTGGGGGCTCCTTGGGCTTTCTCGGAGCGATCATGAGGGCATCTTGGGCCGTCTTGGACGCTGTTGGGGCCAAAAATGCGAATAGGTTCTCAACATTAACGTTTTCCCATGGGGTTTTGACGATTCTTGCGTCTGGAGGCCGTCTCGGGGGTCGTCTTGGAGCCCTCTTGGGGCGTCTTTGAGGCTTCTTGGGCAGTCTTGAGGCCACCTTGGTCGTCTTCGAGGACTTCTGTGCGTGTTGGAACCCTGCTTGAGCAAGTGTAGATCGAGCCTCAGGCATCTTGGGGGCCGGAGGCTCCAGAGGCCCAGGGGGAGCGTTGGTGAGCTCGGAGACGCTCCCCCCCCGTCCCCCCCGACCCCAACCCTTAATCGGATTTCAGGCCCCCCAGAAGAGGCGGAAAGAGAGAGTGGGACAGCCAATCATCTCACACCTCTCGGCACCCCTGGCAAGCGGGGGCCGGCGGACTCCCCAAGCAGTGCTTGCACCGAGGCATGCTGCGCAACCTGTTCCCCACGTTGCGGAACAGTCTCCACGGGCCCTCCCCCGAGAAGGAGGAGGAGGAGGAGGAGGAGGAGGAGGAAGAAAACGAAGAGGAGGAGAATGGAGGGAGGAAGGAAGAGGAGGAGGAGGAGGAGGAGGAGGAGGAGGAGGAGGCTGGTGCCCGCCCGCGGGCGCCTCGTGGGCGCGGGGTCTTCCAGACAGTCGCCCCGCGGGCGCCCCGCGGGCGCCTCGTGGGCTCCCCGCGCGCGGGACCCCCCAGAGGACGAGCACGGAGCCACCGCGGTGCAGCCACGGGACAGCAGGGAGGCGCCGCGGGACAGCCGCGCAACGGCCAAAGGGGCAGCAGCCGTGGAACAGCAGCGCGACAGCCACGACGTCCAGGGGACCACCACGGGGCCACCGCGGGACAACCACGGGACCTCCACGGAACGGGCACAGGACAACGGCAGGGCAACCGTTGGCCCGTCAAAAGGGCAGGGAGCAACCGCGGGACAACCATGAGGCAGACACGGCGAAACCGTGGGGCAACCCCGCCGAAGCCCCGGCAGACCAGACCCCGTGTCGGTTCTTGTCTTGCGGGCCGTGCGCGCCGCCTTGCCCGTCGCGCACGTCGCGCATGACGCGAGTCGAGATCGATGTCAAGGTCGGGGGGGTTGTCGCACTCCAGTCTCACCAAACACTTTCGATCTGATCAGGCACTCTGATTTCTGTAACGCCAGGTTTCTGTGCGCGCGCACTCGGTGAAAGCAAGCGAATCCAGCACTGTTTGACCGGCTTGTCGCAGGAAACTATGCGGGCCTCACGAGCGCGCATGTCGCAGCTTGCACGCGCGCGTCCTTCATTGCCAAGTCTGCCGGAGCTACTGCGCGCAAGCAAGTCCTGATCCTTCTAATCAGGGACATCGTCATCACCACTGACTGCCAACGTCATCATTGCCATCGTCATAACCATCACCCTCATCACCATCACCACCGTCATCGTCATCATCATCACCTCCGTCGTCATCGTAATCGTCATCGTGGTTGCCATCGCCCTCGTCATCATCGCCACAACAATCGCAATCATCATCATCATCATCATCATCATCATCGTCATCATCATCATCATCATCATCATCATCATCATCAGCAGCATCATCATCATCATCATCGTCATCGTCATCGTCATCGTCATCGTCGTCGTCGTCATCGTCGTCGCCGGTTCTGCCGTCACCATCATCACTCGCCCGCCCGAGCCATGGATCTGCACGATTTGGGTTCTCGCGTCGTTGCGTCACTGCGTCAAGAAGATGCGGGCGGGTGAGCGGGATGCTTGTTCGCGATTCCAAGCTGTTCCTCTGGGTTGCACCACACTCTTGAACCGCAGCATATGCATCATCCCTAGTTCCATGGCCCAGTGTCTGGGATCCACGCCGGCAAACTGTTCTGCAGGGCATCCCACCCTCCGCGGGGGAAGTAGCGGTCAACATCCCTTCCAACAACAAAAACACGATCGAGAATTTCAGGGCCCTGGCCGACCCCCACCGATCGAGGGGAGGGAAGGAGAGGCGGAGGAGAGGAGGGAGATGGCAGCTCTCGCCCGGGGCCCATGCTGACGAACATGTGTCTAACACTTTTGATTTGCATATGTATATAGATATATGTACATATCTACACACATGTGTGTATATATATATATATGTCTCTCTCTCGTTCTCTCTGTACACTCCTCCCTCTTCCCCTTTCGCCGCCAGCAGCTGAGCCAACACATGTGTTGCGTGCGCGATTGGCGTGCCATTGCACTGCCAATACGTCTTGGTCTGCTGATTCCGACTCTTGCGCGCTTCTGGCACCTCTCCGCTTCTTGGCTTGACCGCATCTCGATACCGTGGCGACGGCGCGAGACGGAAAAAGTGGACGTCGAGGCGCGTGCGGTCAGCTCGCGTGCGGTCAGCTCCCGTGGGGCAGGCGGAGCAAGACAATGTGAGGAGTCAGGCTTGTCAGGAGGGGGGGAGTAGGGGGATGAAGAAGACGGAGGGAGGAGAGATGGGGAGGAACTTTGCCTTTTTTGTTGTTTTTCTCTGTGCCCTCGCCGGCATGGCTGGATGCACCTCGGAATTCTTGTGAGAGCACGCTCCAGGAGAGGTCCTGAGGCCGATCCTGAGATGTGCGATGTGTGGACCGGGTTCTTCATATCCCGATTTTTTGTTGTTGTAGCATTTTTGGTTCGAGCCGGGCTCGACACAAATTCAATATGGCTGCTGAAATTCATCATCCGTTCGGATCCTTGTACGAGCATGGTGTTGATATGTGTACTGCCTAGCCTTATTCAGCGAACGGCTGTCCATACCGCGCAGCAGGAGCACCTGTCCAGAGGTAGAGGAGCGGCAGGAGGGGGGAGGAGGAAAAAGAACAGGAGGAGGAGTAAACGGCAGAAGGCCGAATGCAGTAAACTCCGTCCTAGCCACCGCCCATCCGGGCGCCTGGAGGAGGAAGAGGACTGACAGGGGGGGAAGTGGGAGGAGGACGAGGGGAGAAGGCGCAATCTAAAGATTACCTCAGTACGGCAGACATTGTCCCTGGCCATTTGTGGCACGACAACCAATGGAGGTCACAGCGCAGTCCTCGTTTTGGGAAATTCCCTGCTACCCCACGCACCCTTGAAGCTTCACGCAACGGTTTCCCTCGGGTCCGCGAACTTCAACCGTTCGGAGGTTGGTAGACCTCCTACCCTGACACGACGATTAGCGAATTGGCCGTCTTCGGTTCGCGAGAGGGCGTCGCGGCCATCATTTTGCGGGTCCAGGTCCGTCGGTTTCGGTCCCAGGCCTTTTTCTTTAAAGGGTGGTTTACTAAAGGGAGGTTTGTCCACCGCCGAAACGTCGTCCATCTTCACAATGCCATTGTCCTGTAAAGTTGATTCATCCTGAACATTATCTTTCTTGTTCCAAAGGCGGGCACGCGGAATGTTTGCACTGCGGGAGAAAGCGCGCTGCGGGGAGGGAGCAGTTCGCGGTGTTCGCGCTTTCGACAGTGTATCGCAGAATGCATTTTTCATGGGTGCGTGCGTCCTGCGCCGCCTGCTCAATTTCGGCGGAGAATGGGGGGGGGAAGTGAGAAGGAGAAGGCGTTTTCAGAAGGTGGCGGGACTTCTCAGAAGCCCTCGCGCCTTCTGAGAAGTGTTCTGCGTCTTCGGGGAAGGCGCAGGAAACCTCTCAGAAGGCCGCGGGCTTCCGAGCTCTCTGAGAAGGCCGTATCCTTCTCGCTGCCCCCCCGGACTCGCCGCCTGCTCCAGTGGGAACGGCGCCGGCAGCGCTGCGGGGGTGGCGCGCGCAAGTTGCCCTTCCGCCGCGAAGCCGCGCGCGCCAGCGGCGCTGCGCAGAGGAATATGATCACCGAGCGCGTTCCACTACTCGCAAAGTGCCTACTCGCAAAGTGCCTTCTCGAATACAATCACCGAGCGCGTTCCACTACTCGCAAAATGCCTGCTCGCAAACGTCAGAAAAAACATTGGTTCGCCTCGTTGGAATACACCGTAAGTCTACCGCGGCGGATCCAGACCATTTGTGAGCAGCTACTTTGCAAGTCGTGGAACACGCTCGTCTATATCACAAGTCGATGCGACTTTACGGTGCAGGAGAGCATGGCGCGACGCCGCGGCGGTGCAGAGGCGCTCAAGTGCCTGGCGCGCTCCCTGCCCAGCGCTTCCCCACGTCTGCGCGCCTGCCTCCTCCTCCCCGCGCGCGGCCGCCCTATCCTTGCCTCCCCGCTCCCTTGCGCGCCGGACAGTCGCTCTCCTGCTCTTGCACATCGCTCTCTGCGCTCCTCCTCCTCCTCGCTTTCTGTTGCACATCGGCGCGCCCGGTTAGCCCTCTCGCTGGCGCGGGATCGCCTCCGCCTCGCCGCCGGCGAGGAACTTCCTACCCAGCGCGCCAGCGTTTGTCCTTCTCTTGAGGGACCAGCCGCGCCCTGGCATCGAATCGTTGTACCTTCCTGCGCTACGGGGCGCGGCA